TTTTGCTCTGAGTCATTTGATTCCCTGTTCTGCCGGGTCCATCAGTTTGCTATACTGTGCTCTGTTTTTCAATTGTGATGGCACACCATAAGTTTACTTTCCCAATTATTGATCAGTCATTGGCTAATTTTACCTTTCCGCCTTTTTCATAATGTATGTTTTTCCATTTATTGGGAGTCTAAGTTAGGTTTACCTCTGCTCTTTCTGTGAGTTACAGCATATTCATCCGCTAATAATGCTAACTTGTAAGCAGTTTCTGTCATCTATATGAATCTTAACATCCTCATCTACATGTTTTAATTTCTCATAATTATTTTCAATATTTTTTGCCATATACCATTGGTTGAAATAAGTTTTTATCTGTCTTAAGAATTCATCCGTTTGGGCCTCTTCTTTTTATGGTTCCTAAATTTTTGGCGATGCACCACTGGAACAAGTTCTTAACTTTTTAGGATCACTGACCTTACTATGTCATAATCCACACTGTCCTCCACTGAAAGAGTTGCATATGCCTTTTGGCCTTTCTCACCTAAGAGAGTTTGCAATAACTTTGGCCAAGCATTCCTCCTCAGCCAGTTCAAATTCATTGCCATTTTCTCAAAATGTGAAAAATAATCATCTATTTTAAATTCCTGAAATTTAGGCACAAGCCTAACTCTGTTGAACTCTCAATGCTTTACCTAACTATTTTGTCTATTTATCTCTAGTTCTCTGAATCTGATCTCTTGCCCAATATGTGCCGCCTTTATTTCTGCTCTAGCAGCTATCCTGACCTTCTCTAACTCAATTTGTGGTTGGTACATTTCTTGTTTATCTATTGGTAACTGGCTTAACACGTCTTCCTCAGATATGTCATTATCAACTATATGCTCCACTATTGTTCTAACTAAACTTAACTTCCTCATTGCTTTTCTAACGTCTAGCTCTAGGTGTTACCCTATCTCTAGTACGTCATCTTCCCTCAATTTGTTTAGTTGGTCAAGGGATGGTTCTTTTAGGAAAGTTTCTACTACCACCATTTTATCCTATTGGCCTCTACGTGTATTTTCACAGTGAGAGAATTCCAAACTCAAGCCCACAATTTATGTTACAAACCAATTGTTACAACACAAAATATAAAAAGGTGGTAAAAAAAAATTACTTGTTGCCAAAGGATATGGCCAAGGTTTCCACTCTCACAATGTCAAAAAAGCATGAATAAGGAGAACTAACCAATAGTGATGAGCAACAAACACTGGAATAAGATTTAACAAGATTTAATTATACATTTGAACAACATAGAAAATATTTCTGCATGTAAAGATGTGTGCTGTATATGTGATATGAAAATCAAAAGAAACGCTTAGCTTTTGTCCATTGTCTGAAATAAAACATTTTCTCATTTTGTGTATCTCTCTATTTTTTTTATATTTCTTTTTTTTTTTTTTTTTTTTTTTTTCCCTTTCAGTTCAGTCCTTTATTTCGTATTCGCATGTGCAGGAATATCTTTTAGATTGTTTCTCTATTTTTTTTTTTTTTTTTTTACTGTTGTAAGTTTTGACCCCAGGTGATGGTCATTTCTTTTTACGTCTTCAGCAATATAAAATATCTCTTTCAGCTCAGAAGATTCGTCATTATGTTAATCGTTGCTTTCTCCAATTCAATAATTGAGTGAATCATACATGCTCTTGTTCTCGTTAATTAACACATTGAGTTATTCACCATTGCATTTTGGTCTGGGATTATTTGGTCAATCAAATATATGTCCACATGTGGCATAGTGTGTGTGAGTTAGGACTTGGCTTCAGTCTCTTCATTAGGCAATCCCCTTTAGTTGACTATAACAAAAGAAAGGGTGTTGATCGCTTAAACTCTGCAGTATAACTGATTCTTCAGATATTTTTCCCACATAACCTTTCATATTAGATCACATGATTCCACACGTGTATGGTGCTATTTTTAGACCTTATCCACATTTTGTTTCTAGGATCAGTCATTTGGCTGCCCAATAGTCCATCAGACTGCTGATTTCAACAAGTTGATAGGTATTGGGTGATCATCACAGTTGGAAAGGAAAAGAGACATGATTTGCTATAGTTGTAAAGTGTATGGAGGGTTAGGGGTTGGCTGCATAATAAGTTTTATTCTTTAATTCTGATTAAATGATTGAGGAATTATGGGGGGGATATGGAGGACTGAAAAGATCTTGACCTTACCAAGAAGGGATTAAAAAATACACACACACACAATGATGTTAATAGTTTTTTAATGTATTGAATCTCTGGGATACAGAGTATTTAGTTTTAACTACATTTAAAATGGACAATAAAAATAATAGAAAGGATCACATTTGACTGTATGATTATTGTTGTCATGTCAGCATGCATTTTTAAATACATTTTATCAAAATTTATATTTTTGTTTATTGAAGAAAATAAGCAGCATTTTTAGCATATTATACTTTTTATTTTAAGGTAAAAATGGGACTCGTGCAGAAAAAAAGAAAATTCATAAGTGCAGTTTGAGAAGAATGTACTGTGAATGATTTGATGTGTTAAAAATTTTTTTTTTGTTGAACAATATCCCATGGTCACTTAAACTAATTGAGGTTGATAACAATCAAATTGAAACATCATTTGGGATTAATCAACATCATGTGACATAGAAAATAGCCAACATTGAAAAATTATCCTAATCAAATACGAAAATCATTTGTATTGTCTTGGTTAAGTTACTTTGGCAATGTTTAACCATTATCCCACAAACAAAACTGTGTCAGAAGGAAGGTTATTCCCCTGACACCATTATTACTGTACACACTTTTGACTCAATCAGCAATGTTTATTTACAAGATTATAAAAATATGTGTGCCATGTACAATGCAATTTTTATTATCTACCTTTTTTAAAAATTTATTTGCCATTTTATAAAGAAATAAATTTGAAAAATCTTCATACAGAAATTTATAATAGAAAAACAAAATTATCAAAATATGTAAACCAATAACAATGCAATATTTATTATTTATCATTTCATAAATAACTATTAAAACAAGTTTTTGGGGTTTTTTATTATTATTATTCAATCTAATAAATAAATAGTATTTAATATCTTTCTTGTCAGTTCTCAAGAATAAATTAAATGTATAAATCCATTTTCATGTTAAAATTCTAGCCACTGCTTTTTGAAAACAATAAACCTAAGTCAAAAGTAATAGTGATGGCAAGGAAGCAACCATCTTTTTGACACTGTTTTTTGCAGGTATGAAGCTTAAACATTTCCATTACTTTGTGTAGTGGCCATATACCTTAAGCCGAAAAGAAAACTTATGGCCTGTATTCAGTTCTCTATTTAGTCAAAATGAAAATATTTACTTTTTCCCCCCCACTTTTTTTTTTTTTTTTAAACAAATTTTAATGATCAGTGAAAAGTGGTTACTTTACAACAATAGACAATGCAAAAGATCATGGGACAAGAAAATTGAACCTTTACTGATTGTACAAATGTCCAGTCTTCCTCCCCACCTCCCCCCCAAAAAAACAGATTATCCTATATAGATAGTGGGATTAGTAGGAAGTTATGTACTCTAATCTCCTACAGAATCAAATAATTGATTTGAACAAGTACAGAAAGCAGAAATTGATGAAGTGTTCAGAATTAGGTAAGAGAAGGGCAATAGTATGAGAATAATTCTAAGGTATCTCAAAAATGTGCTAACACCTAAATAAAAAATATCTCAGATTTGCAACTGTGAAGTTTGTGTTTTCACTTGACTGAAAAAAAATTTAATGCTCATGATACTTGTTTATAGATTAAAAAAAAAAAAGTCTTAGTGCAAAAATAAGTAGCTCCTCATTTGCACATAATTTACAGAATTGTAGTATAATCTGGGAATTGATTGATTTTATTTTTTTATGGCTAATCAACCTTTTGCAGGTTATTTAAAGCCAGAAAATATTTTTAAATTGTAAGAATTTTTAGGAAATAATGATTTTTACTGGTACAAGTTCTACTAATTAACCCATAGCTGGTGTGGGAGAAGAAGTGGATTCATGTCTTTCCCAAGAGTATCTGCACATAAGTGAATATAATTAATCCAACTGGAATTGAAACTTGGCTCTCCAATTCCAAGCCATTATCTATTACACCACCTGCACACCGAAGCTTACAGCACCTGGCATTCATAAGCAGTCACCCATTTAGGTGGTGACCTGGGTTGATCTTACTTAGCATTTGTGATCATGTGAGAACTGGGGTTTCAACTTATTATGACTGTAGGCATAAACCAAAAGGTGGTGGGTAGTGAAGATTATAAGGATGAGGAGAATAGACTGACTTGGTGAGACTTCCTTCTTACATTTTGAACACAGTGATTAAGGGTGCTTAATTAATAAGTAGCTCCTCATTTATACATAATTCACAGAATAGTAGCATAATCTGTGAAGGATTTAATTAAATGCTTAAATTTCTATCAACAGCGTTGTCTAGTATAACTTAATCCTGTTGAATTTTGTAAATTTATTTTGGTCATGAATGAGCTAGACATTGTGAGTCCAAATTGTCTATTATGTATCAAATTTTATTCTCCAAATCCTTTTTACTTACTTATTTCATTTACTTGGTTCAAATTTAAATAAATATATCCAATTTTGTTCACATGCCATGATGTTGATTCTGTAGTATCCAGAACACAAAAGAAGAGTTATTGCCCAAACAAAATTTGGGATGTTAATGATTATCTTCAAAGATAAGGCAAAATACAGCCAATGTTCAGTGATTGTATCTTTATTTCCCAGCTTATACATTATTATTTTTATTGTTTTTAATTTCAGTCTTAATCTTTTCTATAATATTAAAGGAAAAATATTGACCACCTCAACACCTTTACATTTTTTTTAACATTGAAATTTGTCTTCAAAAAAAAAAAAATGCTATGAAGCAAAGTTTTATATATATTTTTTTTTATTGTTGTTGCCATATTTTTGTACAAATCTTTATATTCATATTTTCTTTTCCTACAGTGATGATGACTTTCTGGATGGTTTTCGACCCTCACAAAATGGTGACCGGCATAACCTAGCCAATGGGCTAACAATAACAAAAGCAGGTACAGCACTACTTTTTGTTTTTGTTGTTTTTTTTGGTGGGGGGGTGTTTTGGCACCAAAACAACTATCATGCCAAAGTTTGTAAGACAAGAATAATTGGTTGATATTGATTTTACAATTTCTATGCCATTTTATTATCAGATATGTTTTTATATTATTTTTTCATGAGTTGAAATTTGATTTGAGCATTTTTAAATAGAAAGAATTGAGGGTCTTTTTAAGAAATCCTTACCTACTTAATCTATAGCAGATTTTATACCTTTTATAAACACAATATATATAGCAGATAGCTTTTAAATTTGATTACTGCATTATGAAATATTATTAACATGATTAGTGGCCCTTTATATTTTTCATCATTTAAAAGAAATTACAAATGTATTTACTAATTATTGGATTCTAATTTCTGCTTCCATTTTAATATTGTCAGTCACTGAAATTTATTTTTCTACTTATAGAAATTTGAAAATGTATACTTTAAATTGATTTCTTTCTTCTGAGTAAACTTGCATGTACATGAAATAATTAGGGGAGCTGAAATTGACAGAAGTAACATTTTGTTTCTGCTATTGTTGGATTTTCTACATTTTCTGGAGCATGAATAAGCATGTTTTAAAAAATGGTTAAATCCTTGTTTCACTCCAGGAATTACTTGATTCCTTCTGTTATGCTTTATTTTTACAAGAGTCAGATTAAACCAAAAAGGAATGATTGTTACCATATCTTGACTGGAACTGCTCAATCCTCACTTTCAAGCCTTGATAGAATTCAGAATCATCTATGCATTATTGTGGAGGGAGACTTATTCTCTACTCTGCAACCTCTTTTAAATATACACAATGTTGCAAGCCTTTTGCTACTCTGTTGCTATTTCCATGGATGAGCTCCATTCTTTAGTTCCACCAGTTCAGACCTTTACTCTTAGGAGACACCTTGCTACTTTGACATAGTCAAATCGCCTTCATTTCCTTTGTATTGTAAATGTAAGGAGCAAGTTCTACTCAGTTTTTCTCAGGAACTGCTATTTTGTAAAGCAATCCCATGTGAATGCTTATCTGAACACTAGAATCTTAATCTCTTCAAGTCATAGTTCATTCTTTATTTATCCTTCTCCTCCTCATTTTCATAATTTCCACACCTTACCCCCTCTTCTTTCATTCATAGCACACATCTCATTCATTATTTCCATTTTGATAGTAACCCTCTAACATGTAGTTATTGAGTCTTGTATTGGGTGAACTTTAGTATTAGAAAAAAAATGGTGTGTCAAAAGAACATCCCCTTCTTGACATGCTATTATTTTAACTGCCTTCACTCCTCAGCAATGGTTATTGTTTTAAAAAGCAATAAAACTGTCCTCTTGACAGTTTTTTGCAGGCATGAAGGTCCAAGATTGCAAAAAAAAATAAGATGATGGAAATAAATTACTACTTTGATAATATTAAAATTTTTGTGAAATGATGTCTCATTTAAAGTTTAAAAAAAAAAAATAACTGGTTAAAATTCAATTTTTTCTTTTTGTTTTTATATATTTAATTAATATTAAAATATACATTTAAAAGATGTATATAAAATTATTGCATATGCTTTTTACAAAAAACTAATAATTTTTGATTTATTCATAAAATATCAATGAACCTGAAATATTATTAAAGAAGCCTTTTTGAAACCTTTATTTCCAAACAATTTCAAACTGGGCAATGAAGGTTAATAGTAACATATATCTTTAGTTTTTCAACTGTCCTTTGACTGATAGTAGATTCTGTTAACAGTTTAAGTTATCACTCTTGTTAGTCCTCAAAGCAATTACTTTGACTTGACCCTTTTTTGTTCTAAGCTGATCATTGAACCTTCAAATGAAAGTTATTAAACCAGTCAAAAGGATGTCAGATAAGCTATTTTCAAAAAACATTAATTTTAACTTCTAATGTTAATGAGAACATTATTTCTTTATTTCCAAAGTAGAATTTAATTTTTGTCTGAATTTCTGGAATGAGGAGTTATCATTATTTATACTATTTACATGCGGACTATTATCCTCATCTTTATAGTTATCATAACGTTTTGGCTGTTGTACCCTCCAGCTTTCATCAGATGTATGTCAATCCAGTAACCTATGGGGAATTCCAAACAGAGGTAGACTTTTCTTGTTCTACTGCCTGTGTACTTGGACTCAGTGGTAACATGGTGAGCAATAACTGTGCAGTACTAAAATTAAGAACTAGACAAGATATCCTTAGACATGGGCAGTGGAACAAGAACAGTCTATCCCCATAGATTAAATAAAGGGTTCAGCTTAAAATTCCTTATAGATTACTCTGGATCAATATACACCTGATGAAGGCCAGAGGGCACAACAGCCAAAACATTATGATAACAACAACAAAGATAGTCTGCATGTAATATTGTAAATAAAAATCTAATTTGTTTAAATATTTCATTCTGAAATTTTCTTACTTGAAATTAAACTATATGATGCATTCAGTGGCAGAGGGTCGTATTCAACAAAAAGTGAAAATTGTTTTTTTTTTTTTTTTTTCATTGTAAATTATTCATTATATCATATCCAAGTATTTTATAAAAACTTAGAGCTAATTACACAATATTTCAAGCTCAATTTAGGTTTATAGTTTGTAACCATGCAGAGAGATGAGGTAACATAAACCATAGATTTGTCTGTGGAATATCATTACATTATTATTACATAATTATAGTGGTATCATTAAGGTTTTTAGTCAAAAGCATTTTTATTTTTGGTTGTATATTAATTTAAAATATTCCTATTGATACTTTTGAAGATTAGTTCTTTAATCATTTTATCCCGGCAACAGAAAACTATTGCAAGAAGAGGGGGGTTTTAAGATATCACAAATAATTGATAATGCTCCTTGCCACTTGCAAAACATTGTAGATTTTCACCCCAACTTTACTGTCATGTACCTCCCTCTGAACACTACCTCTCTTATACATGCAATGGATCAGGGAGTCTTGCAATCTTCAAGCTTTACTATACGATGTTTACATTGCGGCAAGCAATAGCTGCAACTGATCTTGATGAGTCATGCACACTTCATGACTTTTGGAAGAAGTATGACATATGAAAGTGTAGTGATACTAGCAAATTAGTATGCATAATTTGCATAAGAACAAGTGGACACTCATATAAGAGGTCACTGAGAATGACGAGGTAGTGTAACGAGCTTAGCGACTGATTAGTGCTAACCTCTACATCACAACAATGGCGTTGCCGATAGGATATCAATTGTCTCTGGAAGATCCAGATTTCGTGGATACATGGATTCGTTGTTTCTCTGCCACTGCGAGAACAAAAAAGTTGAAAGACAAGGAAAAAGGAGGCGAAAATGAAATCACAGATTTATTTTTGGCTACAGCTGGATGCAAGGCTATAATGAAAGTCTCCACCATGGCATATCCCTCAAATTTGAAGACCTGACTTTCGAAAACATAAGTCAGATTATAAAAAGAAATATGAGCCCCAAGAAAAGGCTGGTAGTGGCAGAAAGAACAAAATTCATGTTGATGAAACAAGAAATTGACGAACCAATTATAAAATATTTACACCGTCTACGAAATGCAAGTAGATATTGCAAATTTGAAAAACTTGGACAAGACGAACAGACTATTGAAGAGGACTTGATTCAATTAAGATTAATTGAAGGTAAGTGCAATGCATCACACCGATATAAAATAATGGAACAATTACAAATAGGAAATATGTCTTTAAATACACGTATTGACTTTATTCAGCAACAAGAACTAATACAGAAATACCACCATCATAAAAAGTCAACCCAGCGAAGAAATATTTTGATAATCGTACATGTTAAAGAAGATAAAAAAGTGTTCAGATTGTGGATGTGAACACGAAATAAAAAAAGGAAAAGTGTCCAGCATTTGAAAAACTTGTAATAATTGCTTAAAAAGAACCACTTTCAAGCAGTGTGTAAATTAAAAAAGAAAAACGTTGAATTGAAGAAAACGACACCAATAGGGAAGTTTTTACATTAAAAAATAAGAGTATAAAAAAAATTGAACATGAGAAAAAAGACATTATAGTAAAGATCAAAATTAATAACTGCAATTTAGATATGCAAATGGATACTGGGAGTGAAGTAACACTGTTACCAAAAACTTTTTGGGGAACGCATTGGTAAGCCACCTTTACAACTCCACCAATTTGATGGGTCGGTTATAAAAACATTAGGATACTTTGAAGGTTCCTTAGAGTTAAAAAAAAACAAATTTGACATAATACCTATAGTTGTTACAAGTTGCAAAAAGAACCACGGACTTATTGGGAACGACGTGCTTAACAAAAATTCTACCAAGTTAATTAATGAAATAAAAATGGAAAAAACTGGAAAGTTAAAAAAACTATGAAGCAAGTTTAAAAGCAAAAGAAAATGTTTCCCCCTCTTATTATGAGGCACAAAATTTACCAGTACATTTATTGCCATTAGTAGTGATAAAACTACGTAAATTAGCAGAACAAGACCTTCTTGAACATGTTCCATCTGGAGGTAGCAAGTGAGCATCACCTATTGTAGTGTTGAGGAAAACAGATGGTGATTTACGTATTTGTGGAGATTACAAAATAGGAGTAAATCACAAGATATGCTCGGATTCATATCCCATACCCAATGTTGAACTTGCATTACATGCACTGGCAGGAATGACCGTTTTTTCAAAAATAGATTTAAAAATGGCATACCACCAAATACCAATAGACGAGAACTTCAAAGAAGTAACCATGATAAATACGCTAATAGGGTTACTAAGATGGAAAAGGATGCTATATGGAATAAAAACCGCAAACGCCATATTTCAAAGGGCCATTGAACAGGTTTTAGGAAATGTACAAAATATGATTTGTTACCAAGACGACATATGCATAGGAGCTATTAATGAAAAGGAATTAAAAGAGAAAACTGACTTAATCTTGAATAGATTAAGAAATGCTGGAATGACAATAAATGAGAAAAAATGCGTAAGCAATTCTAACAAAATATCTTTTTTAGGTTATTCCATTTCAAAAGAAACAAGACATGATCCAGTGCTAAGTAGGATAGTATCGAGAATAAGAAAAAACTCATAGGGAAAATTGTTCTAGGGCGGAAAGACCCTATAAAGAAATAAGACACAAATTAACAATAGAACATGGAGTGATTTGTAATGGGGACCTGGTAGTTCCCCCAGAAACACAAAGAAAACCGATAATAGAAAGTGTACATGATGATATACACTGTGGAGTAGTGGCCACACAAAAAAGGATAAAATTAGAAGCTTGGTGGCCGGGATATTCAAGAGATGTTGAGGAATACGTAAAAAGGTGCAAAAAATGTAAAGAATTAAGAAACTTTACACAAACCAAATTACATTCATGGTCCAAAGAAGTGGAGCCATGGAGTCGTGTGCATATGGATCATGCATACATTAATGGAGTGGGACTCTTATTAATACTAGTAGACTCTTTTTCAGGTTGGCCTGAAATAATCCGGGTTACAAACAAGAAAAGTTCTACGACAAAGCAGATTCTAACAGTCATTTTCTAGAGATGGCGTACCAAAAATAATGCACCAGAATTTTGTGAAGAAGAACTTAATGTATGGTTAGAAAAAATAGGGTGTAAACCATATAAGACACCTCTATATCACCCTCAATTGAACGGACTAGCAGAAAGAATGGTGCGGACTGTAAAAAAGGGACTAAAAGCATGCTCTCAGCAAAAAGAAAAAGTAGAAGTTTTTCTACCGAGGCTGCTTTTAAGTTATCAAACGATACCACATGCGGGAAGACTAGAAAGCCTATCAGCTTTAATGGGAAGACAGATTAGAGCTCCACTAACGATGTCGTATTCTACAAATGAAAAAATGTGGTACAAAAAGAACAAAGATGCAGATCCAGAAAGGGCAGAATTTATCATGCAAAAAGGCCACAATACAGCTATAATAAATAGAGATAACAGCAATAGTGTATTATCCCATGCAGACCAAATACGGACCCAGAGTGAAGAGGAAGAGCAAAACGACAAAGAAAGGTCTTCAATTCCGTCTGATAACGAGTTGGTAGAACAACCATTACAGAAGGAAACATCAGAAGACGAAATAATGCAGGATCAAGACGGCCAGAATGAGTCTGAAAGTTCGGACGAAGACCAGATAATGCAAGAAAACACATATGACTACAGCCTAGCGCGGGACAGATCTAGGTCTCCCAGGGAAAGAAATATGGGAGATGGAGAAGTAGAGCAAAGTGATGAAAATAGCATGAGAAGGAGTACAATATCTACGAGAGGAATAAAACCCTTATGTTTCAGGGAGATGTAGCGATGCTAGCAAATTAGTATGCATAATTTGCATAAACACAAGTGAACACTCATATAAGTGGTCACTGAGAATAACGAAGGGGTAAAACGAGCTTAGCGGCTGATTAGTGCTAACCTCTGCTTCACAACAGTAAGGCTGTACAGAACATAGTAGCAGCATGGAATGATGCTCAGAACATGGCTATGAATAGTGTGTGGAAAAAAACTATGCCTGAAATTCGTGAATAATTTCAAGGTGTTTGATAATGTTGAAATCAACAAAATGTTAGTGACTAGGATTTTATAGATTTATTTGAAAAAGACAAGCAGCACCTTACAAACAAGGATTTGATAGAGCTCAACGAGCAGCAAAAAAAAAGGAGGAGTCGAATCTGAGCCACGTCACTTTTCCCTAAAGAAAATGCAGAAAGAATTTGCTTTTATTGAAAAGGGACTTCAAATCTTCGTGGATATAGACCCAAGTGGTCAACGCTTTTCCAAAGTTATGCATGCTTGTCATGAAGCTTATGCTCCTTATCATGTAATCCTTGAAGAAAAGAACACAGTTCATGGAACTCTCAACCAGTTCCTTATTAAAAAGTGTATCGAACAACAACAGCCAGAATCAGCTGTTCATGCCGACGTTCGACAGCCATCTACGTCCGTGATGCAAATAAACAAATTGAATGTAAATATCAGTAAATTTAACATAAATTAGTTTTTCTACTATTGCAAAATAATTTTAATAACTGTATTTGTTATTTAACCTTACAAAATCATTTCATTTTATAATGTCTTAGAGCAAACCACATTGACAAAGAGTCTGCAATGTACTGTAAAGATCACCAAATTGTAAACATCTATATTTACAAGTATGTACGTATGTACATGTATTTGTAAATTTAAATTAATTTTTTCTGTACTAAACTACTAAATAAGATGACAACACGGTCACAAATGTTTTTATATTTCGTTCTCTAGGATTATATTAACATCTACTGTAAAAGTACATATTTTAATGATTTTTTTTTTATACTTTTGTAATACTATTTGTCTTTGCTGTGGTAAAACGGAAGAAAGTTTTGTTAAAACATAAGAAAGTGTTATGTACCGAGAGACAGTGAAACAAGAAGGGTTAATACCAAAAACCCGTTGGAAGAATTGAGGATTTAATTCACACGTAAATGACTTGAATTGTATGTTGAGCAGCTTGAACAATGGAAAAGTGACCCAGACTTAGGGAGCAATGTTGGTTGATACACAGCAGCAAATGTGAGCTGGAAAATGAAAAAGTATATTTTGTAAACAACTGAATTTGGAACTGGACGGAAACTGGTCACAGTAGCGAGTGCAGATAAGACATCAAGGAGGATGGAGGAACCACCCATGCTCACTGACGAGATCAGTGAGAGAGGATAATAAAAGAGAAGTTGAAGAGAGGGAATTCCCCCAAAGTTATGACATAAGCTGGAAGGGATTCACTGAAATGCTCCTACCTCATCATACCTACATGCCAGTTTGGGCGAATGTCCATAAATACGAATACACAAAGTGAATTAAGCAGAAGAGAGAAGAGGGGCAGAAATGAAACCAGAGACAGTAGAGGCCCACGTGATTATCTGCCAATGAAAGCCTCTGACTTCAGCCTTGTGCCAAACTTTACCAAAACAGCAAAACCAAACTTTGCCAAGTCAACAATGATAGCATCACTTCCAATTTAGATGCGTTGTTGGGCTGATAATTAATTGCATACAAACTCTGATAAACTAATTATTGTACGGAGGACTGATATAAAAACAGTATTAATTCTGTTCAATTTATTTGAGTGTTATTTATTTTTCCTGTACGTCATTGCCCTACTTGGACCAACTCAACATGAAGATACCTGCGACAATTCAATCTTGACTGCTTTATGATCAACCTTAAATCACAACATGGGATACGGTTAGCTTGGGATTGAAACGGTCACTTCAGCGACCAGCCGTGGTATTAGAAGTCTTGAACAACTGGGGAGGTTGTTGCACGATTACACTTTTATTTTTATTTATTGTGCGGTAACATGATTTTATGTGTTTTTAACACTTTTCTAGTGATATTACAATTTCAGTATTTGTGGCGGACAAACGTAAAGTCAAATAAAATGACTTAAACTTGATTTTTATTTTTCCATATATTTTTCTGAGCAAACACCGTATAATTGAGAATGACTTAACTCGAAACAATGCAAACAAAGGTATACCTGTATAACAATTATAATGTGCAGTTTCAGTTTTGCTTTTCATGTAGAATTTATTTAGCATTTGTACAGAAATGCTCCTCTGAGAATTTTTTTTTTTTTTTGTTATAAGTTCTCCAGATCATGATTTGTTTTTGTTTTTTTAAAATAATTTTAAGAGGGTGGTTCAGTTTACTATCAAAATTCACTATAAATTGATCCTTCTATGCAATTTAAAAATAATGGTAAGTAAGAGAAATAATAAAAATGTAAGAATATGCTTTAAATTCATATTACACAGCTGTTTTGAAATTATTTGAAATTTTTACATGTAAGGATTAAAGCTACACAGGAAAAAGTTAAGAATATGCTTCAAATAATATAAATATAAACTGAATATACTTTATCATCACTTGACATGAGTATGAATGATTTTTTTTTCTTGCCTATGTTGTGGTTTCAGTTTAGAATGAATTTACTTAGTAAACTGAAACACCCTGTTAATATATGAAAAAAAATTGATATTTGTTTACTGGACTGCTTATTTAATAGTAATATGAAAAAGGAAAAGATTAATTCTCAGGGTGATGCATTTCTGTAGAAATACCATTTATTTTTCCTTGAAGGAGCATTCTGAAAAAAGACTTTGACCATTTTTTTCCCAATCAAGAAATAAATATTTTCAAATGTTTTTGTGTGAGAAGTGAAACTATTAGAATTTTATCACTTAGGCCAAATACAAGTTTTCCTATTTTGCAAGTTAATGTCAAATTGTATTTTCGTAAAAAAAAAAGAGAAAAAAAAACAAACAAAAATATTTGGTTCATCAAATTATTAGGCATGACTTCATTTAATGTATTTGAATTATTTTTATTCATGTATTTCTATGTGTGTTTGGGCCTGGTCAACTTTGTCAATTTTATCCAGAGTTTTACATTAAAATTTTTCAGCAGAAAGTTACTAGAGTAATTTTCCTATAGGCTGATGCTAGTAACGGATTTCATTTGTGACTTTGATTTTACTTTAGTTAACTGAACATATCCTACAGTAATTTTTTTTTCTTTATTTTAGATACTAACTATAAAATGTTTTATTTCAGAAAAAAAGGCTGACAAGATGCGGCTTTACAATTTCAGCAAAGTGAAAAAAAGTCGTAAGTGGCTGAAGGTAAGATAATAAAAGCTAAAATGATTAGATTCTTTTTTTTAACAGCTTTGACTTTTGATAAATTTTTATTGATTTTCAGTCCATTATCATAATTTTTAACTAAAGTGATTTATTTTTAGTTCTTTACTAAGATTAGCTTTGTATGAAAACAAGGCCTCATTGACTACACAAAGCATACCTTCAACATGATTTATGCAAAAAAAAAAAAAAAAAATTTCAACAATAACAAAATTTACACATTTTCATTCATTAGGCATTAAATTATGTCATTTAGCATCCTCCATATTTTACCTTGGCTCTCACCGTTAACTAAGAATTTTTTTGGTACATTCTCAAATTTAAGTTTTAAAAAAAAACAATCATATTTTTACTTTTATTAAATACATGTAGCATAACAAAATCCCTTTTTTTTTTTATTATATATATATATATATATATATATATATATATATATATATATATATATATATAGCCTTTTGGTTTAGCCAGAAGTTATGAGTTCAGAGTTTATTGAAGATGTGATATTTTCTATTGAATTACTTTTATAAATTTCAAGTATTTATTTAGATTTTCAATTATTTTTTTCAATTATTGTGAAAAATATTCTATGGAATTTTGATCATGCAAAAATCAGACTAAGTGGTTTTATTAGCATTCTTCTGGAATATTTTTATATTTTATTGATTAACATAAAAAAGAATGGCAGTTCCATTGCTATTTAATAAAATTGAGGAAAAATTCCTTGCATCTTACTACCAAAACATGTCCATACACAGCAATAATATAACAAGAAAAATTAATATTTGTATAAATAATATAAGAAAATTAATATTTGTATAAAAACTCTACCAGAGAAGCTTATATCACTCGATTTTCAATAAAATTGGTTTTAATTAATCTGTGACACTATGCTTGAGGTGGAAAATGGTATTTTTATTTTTAAGATTAGTCTTTTAAGCAGCATCCACTTTGATTGGAGAAGAACAGAAGAGTAAATGAGTGAATGAGGGCGTTTGGGAACCAAGTAACAAAAAAAAAACTGATATAGTGTTGTTATATTCAGTTGCAGTTGGGATCATGGGAGTCTGTTCTGGTCCACCCTTGACACGGAACTGAGCATTCCTCACATACTGCTAGCCAGACATCAGGATATTCTATAGATGGTCAAGGAGTTGGGGGAAGAGCTGATCTATGAGACTGGTGTAGAAGTTGTTCCAAGGGCCATCCAGGCCAAGCTTGCAAATTCCTGAATTAAATAGAATATTAGAGGCGTGGCTCATGTTCTCATTTCTCAATATAACATTTGTTTTTTATCTTCATTATCTTGTGAACATTCAGCAAGCTTTTCCCAGTTTTTCAGCATCCTGGGTAAGACGATAAACTCCATCCAACAGCAAGGCCTCTGATCAGGAGGTTTTGAGGAAGCGTGAAACCACCTCTTAATTGCTGGTGTTCCCAGGCCCACTCTGAGCTGGGGTGGTAGCACCTGTTAGGGTCCCAGCTATGAGCAAATAATAAACTCCCAGTTTTTCCCATCAAATATCCACGTCCTGGGTATGACAATAAACTACATCAGCGTCCTGGGTATGGCAATAAACTACGTCCAAAAATAATGTTGCCAGCTATACGTTTTTGAAAATATAATGTTGCTATACGTTTTTGAAAAACTAAATTTGGCATTTAATGCCCTACAGTGGTTGATATGCCATAAAACCCAACCAACCAACCAGTTTTTGAGGCACACTGATGAGAATGGAAATGCAACTTTGGGTAATCATTGGTCAGTTGGTGGAAAGCTGGGTGAGGATCACGTACATTGACAAATCCCTTTGTATTTTGTTTTAAGTTAAATTTGAAATAAAATTCAGAAATGAATTCATTGCAATATTTAAATACTGAATATCAAGTAATAAGTTTTATTCTTCTTTCTATCTTTGTGTTCCAGAACATTCTGCTAAGTGACAGTTCTTCAGATGAAGACACTGACAATGGCACCATTTCCAACGAAGAATTTCAAATGATGCTAAAAATGCACAAATATCAAAAGAAACATCGGCAGCTTTTTTATCGAGATTCAGAGGTAAGTAACTAGCAAATAAGATTCTATATTTACCAAAATAATATTGAAATATTTTTGGTTTATATCACATTTTTTCATTTGTTTTCATAATGTTCTTAGTAAATGAAACATTGACAGCAGAATAAAAAAAAATTAAGCATCCAACTGGTTTTCACATATTTCATCTTGCATACTTTGTTCAGATATTTCATATCAGTCATTTTATCATGTTTATATAAATAAAAAATTAACATAAGTCTTTGAAGTATGACTATAGTAATTTTATCAATTGGTATTTGCTTAAAAATTGTCTTTATTACATTACTGTTGGCTCGTTGTTTTTCCAAGTCATTTTGGCAGTCAGGTCAGTTTCCTGTTCACCTCCAAAATCCATCTTTTAGTTTTTTGTTTGTGTTTTTTTTTTTTTTTTTTATGAATATTTTACCAATCCATGTGCAACACACTTGATGCACACACATTCTCTTCACCAGTGAGTCAACCATCAAAAAGAAGCAAATATTTGATTGTGCCCAACTCATATTGAAGCCATAAGTAAATCCAGAAAGACCACATTTGTCAATATTCTTTGGTTTTGTCACAAAACCAGTGTGCTGTTTTGGAGTAAAACATTCAGCTGCTAAAATAATGTTAGTTTTATAATGACCCTCTTTAGAGGGTAACTTTTAGGAGATCCATTGTTATTGTTAATGTTATTTTTATAACAGTTTGTATTATTACTTTGTGCTCTCAGCAGCTTAGTTTTCTGATGCTTATATCATCTGTTCAAATCCTGTTATTTTTTTATGGTAACCTTTTTGTTTACATAAGTTAGTATTTGACTTTGATCATGTGAATGTTCTGGATATCAACAAGAAGAATGAATTTTTTTTTTCCCCTGAAATGTCTTTTTATTGAGATTGAAACTCAAGGCTTAAAACACTGAAAAGATAAAATACTTCTTTTTTTTTTTTCTTCTCTATAAATTGTAATGACTAGTTTTGTATTTACACAGCTACATCAGTATCAGTACTACAGTACAGGCCTTTTGTCCAGTTATGATCGATATTACGACCATCAGAAACTGATACTTGGGCCAAAGAAAAAGATTTCCAGGGAACAGAAGAAAATGGAAAAGAAAATGAAAGGTATTTAATTCTTTAAGATACTTTTACATGATATACATATAAGGGGTGGCTTTCCCTCTCCTCCCTCTAAAAGAACTTTTCAGTATCCCCTCTTGTGTTTTTGTATATGTAATAGTGTATAAATTATTTTTCTTGTGGATATAGATGTAATTAATGTTTTAGATGCGGCTAATGGTGAGGATTAAACTCAGTACAAGAGTAATTATTTGCCAGGCTACCTTGCTGCCCATTTGTTTTCAGTGATTATAATTCATTGCATAAATCTCTAGTTCTGTTATTTGGGAAGACTTCTATGTACTCTGTGATCTGTATGCATAAAAATCTAAGATTCATTCCTGGTGGTTATCAGTTCCAAAGATAGGAAAAAAATAATGAATTCATAATTCACTTATTTATTTTGGAATTGATTTTTGCAGAGGCTACTAAAAGATTTGTTACTTGAAAAAAAATTTTTGTAAAGTTTTTGTATCAAAGTATAATAGGTTTTAAAAAGTTATTTTGGTAATGAAATTATAACAAAAATATAACTTTAAAGTATTTCCCTCCAAGCAAGGCAGGAGTGCCACTAGCACGCAAGGGGTTACAGAGAGTGACAGCAAGAGTAAAGAAGGGTGTTTGAGGAAAGGATAAAGAAAAGGACGGGAACAAGATCAAGGCATCAGAAGATGTCAATTGACATTACATTTGAATTTTATAGCTATCAGGGAAGCAGGTAAGAGGAAGGGAGTTCCACAGACAGGAAGTGCATAAGAAGTTGTTGGAGTAGAAGAGATGGCCACATTTAACCCTTTCAACCCCGAAAGGGTGGGACTGAGATGCCAACCTAATAGCACGCTTAAATTCATGCAGTTTGAGAACCAGTCAAAGTAGCTCGTTGAAGCAGTTGCCATGAAAACACTTGTAGAAAAGACAGAGGGAAGCCATGGCACATCTGTGAGAAAGTGACTAGACAAGATGCCAGATCAGGACCCATTACATTGCATATCTGTCTCTGGATTTTGTCAAGGATCTCAAGACAAACAGCAGGGGCACCAGACCATATATGGCAGCAGTATCCCATGCAAGGACAAATGGTTGATTTATAGATTTGAAGGATGGACTTGGGCAAGACAAACTTTCTGGTGCAATACAGAAATGAAGCTATTGATTCAATGTATTTGTTCCATCTCAAGTCAGTGGACATCATGAGACCAAGCAGGCAGTCTTGTGGAGTTGGGATTCAGCCATTCTGATGGGAGGCAGGGAGGGTTCTCTCTGGTGGGTAAATGAGAGCAGTTTCATTTTGGAGGCATTAAAGTTTACAAACCATTTCCAGCCCCAGATTGGAGGTTCTTTTCGAGACCAATGGCCAGGTTACCAGATATATTATTGAGGCTGGAGTAAATAGTAATCTGCATAGATGCCTACTTGGGAAATGATGACATCAGGGAGATTACTAATGTAGATCAGAAACAGTGTAGGACCCAGGATAGAGCCTTGGGGAACACCAGTATTTGTGTGAAAGGAACTGGAGGAGAACCTGTTTAGGGCAACCTTCATTTTGCGGTTTGATAGGAATGATTGTATTAAGTCAAATAATCGTTCTGTAATGCTGTATCCCTGAAGCTTAGGAAGAAGGCCTGCATGCCAAACCCTATCAAATTCTTTAGAGATATCTAGAGCCACAGCTCAAGCTTCTCCATTATTGTGAAGTGTTTGGTATACAAATTCATTTATGGACCTGAGCATGCCAGCGGTAGATCAGGTAAAGTGGAAACCATATTGGTTGTCAGAGAGCAGATCATTGATATAAGGTGCTTAACCACTTCGGCATTGATTAAAGCCTCAAAGACTTTACCGAAGAGTGGTAGGAGACTGATAGTACGGTACTTAAATGGGTCAGAAGAATCTCCAGAGTTCGTAAAGACAGGGACAACAGATGGGGACTTCCAACAGGCTGAAAGCAAGAGTTGGTGAGGCGGTAGTTATATAGTTTGGAGAGGACAGGAGCCAGTTCAGGAGCACATTTCTTCAGGACAACGGCTGGTATCTGTCCTCGCCACTAGCCTTGTGGGAGTCTAATTTAGAGACAATGTCCAATACCATCAATGGGTTTATGTTCATCTCCCGCAATAGAGCCTCAGTTCTAGGTGTGGGTTTACCAGATGAGTCAAGTGTTGAATTAGATGAGAATTTCTGAGCAAAGCATTCAGCCTTATCAGCTGAGGAAGTCAGGACCTCAAATTGATTGAATAGAGGAGGTATTGTGGATTTGCTGTTGTTCAGCATGCTCTTGCAGAGACACTAACAATCTCTAGAACCAAACTTGCAAGATACAATACATTGTTTCATTCTTTCAGCAAATAGTAACTTCACTTCATTGAGGACACATTTGCACTCATTACAGGCAGACAAAAAGAGACATCTATTGCAATCAGGCATGTTGCCACGATACAGACAAGAAGTGATTCCTATGAGCAATAGCAGCTGAGAACTAAGGAAATGAGCACAATTTAACTTTATATTTCCTTGTGGTGATGAAAGCTTCAATTCCAGCTTTTACCCAGGAGGAAGCCTCAGACGCACATTTTTGAACAGGGACATTAAAAACCACATTCTAGAGGACATTGTGAAGGAAATCACAAAACAAGTCCCAGTTTGCTCATTCATAACAGAAAGATATTCTGTTAGTAGGTTTTTTGATGGGGGGGTGTAGAAGGTGATGTTAATGGACACTACAGCATGATCAAAGTTGCCAAGAAGGCAAAGATGTGTGGCAAGACAGGATTTGGGGATGGAGGTAAAACAGAGTGTTTAAGCCATTTAGTATGGTGGGCGTTAGTCACCAAACAGGAATATGTATGCAAATTGATGTAGAGAGATAGCCTTGTCTATATTATTGGAAAGACTGTGATGTACTCTATAGCAGTCTTGGGAGGATGAAGAGTGATAGAAAAAAAAAAGAGATAGCTTACAGAATTGAGGAGAGATAGACTGAGACACCTGTATGAATTGTCTGGAGATTCAAGAGAGTTCCCTAGGCATGGGAGATGGTCCTGGGCATAAACTCCCAGGCCATCTATGTGGGTTTTAGAGTCCCTTCTAAGAAGAGGAAAGTAACCAGGAATCGAGAAGTCAGTGGGGAGGATTGACAAGTTATGGTTAGTCTCACAGAGAGCTAGTATATCAGGAGACTTCTCAACAAGAAGTGATTCCACGTTACAGAAGTTGGTTCGAATGCCACAGATGTTGGAAAAGGAAATGTTAAAGGGTTCAGGTGATTTTTTTGAGAGCTGGTTTAAGTTTATTTTTATGATGGATTATGGTCATGTTGAGATATGTTGGTGAGGAAAATGCCTAAAGTAATAGTAGCAAAAGGTCATTGTATGTGACATGGACAGAAAGGAGCTGGCACAGACTGCAAAATAATGTGGCCTCAGGGTTTCCCACCAGAGGTGCATGCAGGAACATCCTTCCATGCACAACATGGCACTACAATCATCCCAATATTATGCAACTGTTGATTAGAGCAGCTACTCAAGACTCTACGCAAGTGTTAGGGCCTCTTACTACCAGTCGGGAATGGCAACCAGAGGACTGTCAACCCAGTACCCTCAGTATGAAAAGACGTTGCCACAGATTGCACATATCACAAAATATTCACGACAGTACTACTATGGAGGCCAGAGAAAAAGGAAAGGATTCAAGAACCCCTTCCTAAACAGGAAACAAGTAATGAGCCTCTATACCTGTTCAAGAAAAGAGGGAGGACTATTGACCAGGTGATAGGCAAACCTATCCACTCCTATTACATAGACACACACACACACTCTCAAAATAAAAAAAAAAAACAAGCAAGCAAGCAGCATACAAGAAGTCCATAAACAACGTGCGTGACACTCAGAATTGAAACCAAAATATAAAGTTTTAACTTAGTTTAAGTGCTAACATGCACTTTGTAGAAACGCTTCACGACTGTGAATCAGGAATTGAGTTAATGTTTGATACTAGCATGAATATTCAAAAGAGCTCATATTCAAACAAAGTTCTCAAAAGAAAAAAAAAAAAAGTGGGTAGACTAAATTTGCTTCAATTAGAAAAAACAATTTTGAAAACTAAAAGAATTAGTAACAGCAAACAAAACAAAAGGAAGGAAAAGATACATAAAATGATTTAGAATGAAATACTAAATCATTGAGAATGCAATACATACAAGCAAGAATGGAACTGAAATTCACATGGTTACTTATAATAATAGATTGAATACTCACTGACAATAATAATAATGATGATAATAAAAAAAAAAATTTTATATATTCAAAGAATATGAAAAGAAGTATTCTGAAAAATTAATTTATAAAAATAGAAATGTTACAATAATTATGATAAAATGTTATTACTGAACACCATTAAATAATACTAGCAGCATGGCCCGGTGTTGCCTGTGCTTGATTTAAAAATTGTACGACTCGTACAGCAATTGCTATCACTTAAAATATTTTTGCCCTTCCTTGCCTTTAAAGGAGTGCCCTTTGCCATGCTGATGTTGCTACATGCCTTACTTCTCACACTGCGAATTTTTTCTAAGCTCTATACTAAACATTAAATCTGTTACGAAAAAAGAACTAAACAAAATGAACACAAAATGATCAGCTTTAAAAAAGGACTCGTAACTTGAAAAACCGAAAGAAAAAAGAATGTTAACAACAAATACTTTTTGACACCCAACCCAGTTCTGCGGAATCAGAATCAACGTTGAGTTTAAGATTTTAATGAGCCAATTGGAGTAAAGTGCCATGCAGATTTAAATTTTTCCCACTTGTGACGAATGCAGCTATCGATATTTTATTTATTTATTTTTTTTTTTGCATGCTACCATGCTAGTTAACATTCGTGTCAGACAGCTGTTGGCTCCCACGCTGGCCAATAGAATCTTCCTGTCTATTCATGGCAGCCAGCTATAGGCTATCACTCTGGCCAGTAGAAAATGGCCGCAAACTACATGAAAACTACCATAGAAGCATGAAAAAATCGATTATTTCCACTATCGATGGGAGTTGGGAAATGCAAAGTCGGTGTTGGCCTTCCCGCTAACTTGGAGCATATTCATGTAAATTTTGGTGCAAATCTGTCAAAAATTGGAGCCGTGTATTTGTTACACACACACACACACACACCCTGCCTTTTATAGAGATAGTATTGTATCACTAGAGCCCCCCCCCCACTCCACCCCAATTTTGTCAATAATGTAATATCTATACCAGGCATGGTGGTCAACTAAGAGCAGAGCATGTAATCAGGTTATAGTATTTATGTACATGTATGATTACATGGCTTGAACCTTAAAAAAAGTGGGGTGGGCGTGACAACCATGAAGCCACAGTGGCAGGAGGAGCAGAACAATAGTGTTACAACATTACTGCCACCCTTCCGTTTTCCAGATGGGGTCAGGTGAAATCAGGTTTGAAGAAAAAAAAAAAAATTCTTTCCTGGTTTAATTTTCCTTCTCTTCCAAATCAATATTTTTAAATAAAGTGAGATGTTATAATAACCATAATGACAGAAATTAGTTGTATTTCACCAGTTCTATCATGAGACTAAAATCAATTGCCTATGAAGTACTTTATTACACTGGTGATCAAACTCTTTTCTTATAATTGGTACTGTGACTGATTGTTTCATAACCTTGTAATATTCTTTTGAATGGGTGTATTTTCACTCAAGATTTTAAACTCCTCCAAATATTTAGCAGAAGCCACTTCCTATTAAAAAATAAAAAAGGCTTAACATCTTTAAAGTACTATCAGTTTATTTTATGAAGAAAGGTTTACAATTGTTGCTACCATATTAATTTCTTTTAATCATTGTTATAAGACAGCTCACTGAGAGAAATTTTTATTTTTTCACTTCAGCAAAATTACGAAAGTTGAAAGAAAAGAGGGCTCTTGAAAATGGTGACAGTGAAGTAAGTATAACTTCTCAACAAGACCATATTTAATTTTTGATAATATATTAAAAAGTTTTGAGGAAATATTTTTATTATTGTAATGATGTCAGTTAACAAAGTTCTTACCACCTAGGACAAATAGATTAAATTCAAGAATGGCCTTTTTATATGATTCTTTTCATTATTCATCTCCTGTCAAAAATACACTTCCCTAATGTTTAAAAATGTTTCAGTGCATATGAAGTTATATTGACCCTTATGCCACTGTCTTGGGAAATAAATAAAATTAGCTCATCACTAAATGTGTGAATGATAGAGGCTGATAAACTGCTAACAAGTTTCTTTAAAGTATTTTTTCTTGTAAATGAGTTGGCAGTAGTGTCACTTGGCTAACTGCAAGTATTAATATGTAACTTTAAAATATTGCAAATTTTACAAGCATCAATTTTAATTGATGATTTAAAGACTGCATCTTTTGTATTCATTCATAATAAATGAGCTTTGTGATGCATATAGTATCTAGTAGTGTTCATTATATGAAGTTGCAGTTGATTTGATTTTAGTTGTGTAGCATGTTTAGCATTGAGGCTTGACAAGTTTATAATATTCTGGTGAAAAGACATGTTACTTTTACAATAAAAGCAAAGCATGTAATGTGGTGGTATGATTTCTGTATGTTACCTGGTTTTAACCATAAAAAGGTATAAAAAGCAAGTGGATAGCTATAGCGGGTAACCAAGCAGAACTAGAAATGAGATATCAAAGAAGATTTTATCCAAGACCTACTGCTCTTTTGCGTAATTTCAGGTGGACAGAAAAAATAGGGTCCCTTTTTTTCTTTTTCTTTTTAACTAAAGAAAAAACTTGATGAATTATCAAAACTCTTATTCTATTTTCAACGACTATTTTAAATAGTGAAAAATCATGACCAAAATGGCAAAAACCTTACTTGCATTTTGACATGGTTATTATTAGATACTAGGCTACAAAAAATTGGGCCAGACTTAGAAATTATAACATTTTTAGATAAAAACTCATAAAATCCATCATAAAAGTCACATACTTTCAAAAGTTCACTTTGAACAACCATTTATTTTATGTGGTTTTAATGATATGCTATAATGAACATACTTTAAAGGGTGATTTTGCTTTTTTTTTATAAAGATTTGATTAGTTTTTCTTTTCATTTTTGCCATTGCTTTTTATTGCATCAATAATTTTACAAATCAGAGAAGGAAAAATGGAAATAAATAAATCTGAATTTTATCAAGTCTCAATAGCCAAATTGTTTGATATTGATGATATCTTACTAGTCTCCCAAGAATATAGGATGTGATCTTAAATCTCATCAGTTGATAGTGAAACTGCTTATGTAAGAAATTAGAAAAACTTAAAACCATTAGGTATAAACCAGCAACAAAAATATAAACTAATTAGTCAAACTAATAATGAAAATGCTTGATCTAAGGAAGTCAGTCAGCTTAAGACTATTATGTTTCAGTCAGCTTAAGACTATTATGTTTATTAGTCTTTAGTGTAAACCACAAAAATAAAATGAAAAATAATAAAATTAGTCAAAATTTTTAATGACAATTCTTTACTTATTTTTATGTTTTATATCAATTAATTTTCTTTTTTTTAAATTTTTATTTCAGAATGGTTCTATAGATACATCAATCTTAGAAGCGTATCTACACCCAAAGCAATCTCATGGTAAAGGAAAACAGAATAAAAAGCTCACACCAGAACAAGCTGACACAAAACGACGAAAAATCTGGTTATCAATAGCAAAGAAAGAAATTCCAAAGGTATAATATACTTTCATCTTACCATTTGGTTTGCAAGTGTTTTTTTTTTTTTTTTTTTTAGTCAGCCATAATTGTTGTTGGTGACATTGTTGTTGTACATTGAAGTTTTCAAATGTGTTTGAGTTTATAGAATATTAAATCCCCTTCTATAATGACTATTGGATGCAGGAATAACATTCCTCTAAAGACAAATAAAAAATCAGTTTTCTTCAGTGTGTGTGTGTCTGTGTTGAGCACATGGCCAATTGGTTAGAACATTTGCTTTCCTATCATGAGACTGGGGTTCAAATCTAACAATGGTTAATTTGTCAGAGAATTGATTACTTGATGTTATTGGCCTGGTGTGTCAATCCCATCATACAGCAGTGTTTGAAAGTGCCTAAAAACCCCCACCAAGAGTTGGCCCAAAGTTTGAGTAAATGGAACTGTTCAAGAGCCATTGATGGTTGTGTTAACATGAAATCACAAGTCATCATGACTGAGGATTTGAGCATAATGGCCTTGTTCAAACAGTGGATTATGCCTGATTATATGCTCTCTCCCAGAAACTGTAACTAAAATCTGCTCAGCATAGTTGCATTATAAACTACAAGCGTGTTCTCTGTGTGTTGAAGAAACATAGATGTGTCTGAGAAAGTGTCTGAAATAGGGATTGATTAGCAGCGTTAGTAGATGGGTGTACTTGGTAAGAAGGTCTAACAATTCGATTCATTAGAACTGAACTACCAGATTTGATTATAGCAATGACATTTTACGCAGAACCTACTGCACATTTCAGAAGAACAGATTATAGAAAACTGGTGCACCATAAACCACAAAGTCTCCAATCAGCCCTCCTCAGGTTTTGAATTCAGAGTTGCTTTTCTAGACTGGTTGGCAACTAAGACTTGAGATGTCTGTCTGCTCAACTCATAATTGGAGGGAGAGATATGGATATACATCTTTCTCAATGGTGTTTGATCGAAAGTAAATGTTATGATATTTGCTGGAATTCAAACATAGCTTATTAGTTTCTCTTTCTGGGCTAATAACCATTACATCACTCACACACACCCCATATATATATATATATATATATATATATATATATATATTTAAGAAATGGAAAAATGTACCAAACACAAAAATAGATTTGTGCCTTTTATGTGGTTATGGTACTGTGGATAATAGAACATGTCAAAAGTGGTTTATGGAGTTTTCTTGCTGAGTGCTGCTGCATTATTGAGTTTGATAGCATTCAAATTACGATATTAGTTGAGAATAATCAACATTATACAGATAACCAATATACAACTACACCTCACTTAACGACTTATCTGTTTAATGACCCCCATACTTACAAGAAATTATAAAATCTCCTTAAATGAAAAATAAATTCTGACACTTGCTATTGTATAAGAACTTTGATCATAATTATCTTTCTTCAAAACGAATCAAAATAAATAAAATAAATAACGTGAAAAATAACTTTTAAAAAATTTGTATTCTGTTTACAGTATGCTAATGGAAGTAATGTACAGAATAGAGATAATTTTTCAAATTTCTTTATTACATTTACTGTTCATACTGTACTTTATAATGACTTAGAATTAGAAATGTTACAAATGGTGCAAAAGTGACATTAAAGTTGTCTGAAGCTGGTTGACTCGCTCATTATAGGTGTTGTATGTTTGAAATAGTGATCAAGTATAACTTCTTATTTAGTAACCAGGTGGTCAGAATAGAACTTGGTCTTTAAGTGAGGGGTGACAGTTCTCAAAATATTCAAATCAAGCACTGAAAATCATTTACACCAACTTGGTTATGTTAGTTATTTTGATGTGTAACTTCCGCATAATGAAAAAAAGGGGAACCCTACTGAACAGTATTTCACTGTGCAATTGTGGTGAATAGCCCCATAGAAGCAAGCGAGCCAGAGTGGCTTGCATCTGGTGTATAGTGTATGTGCAATGATGAGGGTTTTTTGTACAGTTTGGAATGCTTCCACCAATAGCAAGTCGTGTGCTGATTGGTCGAACTGGAGGAGGCAATTTGCCTGTGTAACCAAGAATAACAGCGAAGAACGCTGATTGGCTGGGGAACCGCGGTGTTGGCCTGATAAAAGAGTGCTGGAGCCGTGAAAAAGGGGACAGAAACATTGGCTATACGTAGTGACATGTGAAGAAAGCGAGGACAGTGAATTGAACCAGCGATATTGTGATTTGTACAAGTGACTGCTGGGAGAGCAATAGACTTATTTAATCCACAGCAATTCATTACTTAAACAAAAATATTGTTTTATGATGGCCAGTGAATGTTTTATAATAACATGAAATGCACATGGCATATCAAATATCCCACAACTATGATAAAAGTTAAAACAAAGAGTATGATTTTGTGTATATAGTCAAATTAGAAGGGAGTTTTCTGCTGTGGGCTCCTTTTCGAGAGCCAAACTATTCATTCAAACAAGTATTACTCCCAGTTAGACCAGTCCAAAGCAGTAATCAACAAAAAGCATGTAAAATTTGAAAGAGTATAATATTCCATCAAGATAATCCTAGACTGCATATGACCAGGCAAAAATTAGTAAAGCTTGGCTTGAATATTTTCACACATCTGTCACATTCACCAGATATTACACTTACCTTTCTGGTCTTTAGTGGATTCTCTTCATGAACAAAAAAAAATTCAATTCCTTTGAAGATTGCAAAAGCATTTACAGAAGGTTTTTTTTTTTTTTTTTTTTCAGAAAGATAAAGATTCTGGAGTGGGATGGAATTAGGATGTTGCCTAAAAATAGCAGAAGATAGTGTAATAAAGTTAATGTCAACAAATTTTTAAAAAATCATCTTTTATCTATTTAATAAACTAAACAAATATTTTGTTTGCCCAAAAACACAGGATTTTTTAAAGTTCTAATTACATGATAATAATTAAATGTTGAAATCAATTGCATAATGTTTATCTATATGTATATATAAGTCATTATCTTTTTTTCTTCAAATTTAGGCCCAAAAGCAGAAAGCATCAGCACGGAAAGAAATGTTGTCAACTTTAAAGAAAGTAAGTTTGTCAAAATTTACTGACTTATATTTGTAAATCAGGCTTAATATACGTGTTTGTATATAATGAATATTTATTTTAACCTTTCACAATCTATCAATATATATATATATATATATGTGTGGGAGAGAGGTGGGGGAACCGATTTTCTGTTTTTTCTTCATTATACTTGGTGAGAAAGTTTGACAATATATAAATGTTATTAAAAGAAGAAAATAAAAGGAAAATGAGAAATTTTACCAGTTTGATAGTGTTGTACGTCATACTAACTTGATGTGTTTCTGGGACAACCCTTGCAAAGAATTCCTTAATCTTAAATAAGAATTAAGTGAAAGTGGCAAAACCTACAAAAAAAAAGTAGCACTGGAAAGTCATCTAGAGACAAAAAGCTACATTATCGTGTGCTCACTTTATTGAAATTGTTAAATAACATTTTTGAAAAAGTCAAATTCATGAAATTTAGTTTTCTGAAATGACAAACTGCCCCCTACCTTCGTCAGCATATGTTATAGGAAAAAGAAAGGACAAAACAAAATGACAAAATTTTGCTTCCCACCACCACAACCTCTTTTTCTTTTTTTTCTTTTAATTAAGTCAAGCCAACTTCATAAAACTTGGTTCCTAAATACTGTAAACCATACGGAGACAGTAGGTAAGGGGAATGTATTAAAATATTACAAAGTTTAATTTCATTTTTCCATTTTCACATAAAATAAGCCCATATATATATATATATATATACACAGACATAATGTGTGTGTTGAACTTTCCCATTATTTCCAATGTATGAGGGTAAAGCACCTCATTTTTTAGAACTGAGCAGCCAGATTATTCCCATGTATGGTTTGGTTACAGTGATGAAAGCTTATGCAGAACCACTCACACATTTTGGAAGGGCTGAATGCAGAGAACTGTTGCACGTAGTCTGCCACAAGGTCCCCAAACAACCCTCCTCGGGTTTTGAATTCAGAGTTGTCCTTCTCCTAGGCTGGTTGCCACCCTAGGAGCCAGTCTGTCCTGCTATTTATCCATAGGAGATGGATTCATACCTTTCTCAAGGGTATTTGCATATAAGTGAATGTAACAAATTCAAATAGAACTCTCTGCTTCTGGTTGAATTTATCTACATTCACTTGCAAATACCCTTTGAGAAAGGTATGACCCATTCCCTATATATATATATATATATATATATATATATATATATATATATATATATATGAAGTTGGATATTCAGCATTGCCTAGGAACTGAAGCAGTAAGTTTAGTGACATTTGATTAAGAGGAAATAATTTAAAACTATGGTTGAATTATATTTCTTCCTGACAGAATATTTATTTCTTTGTCACTGGAAACTTTCTTAATTGACTTTTCTCAAAAACAGTTAGCTGAGAGTTCCAGAAAAAAAAAATCAATTAGGGGTTTCATGATAAACAATCTTTGATAAATTTTTTTTTTTTTTTTTTTTTTTGAGATAACAATGATTTTTACAAGTCCTTCTATCTAACCCAGTCTAACCCATAATTACAGGAGAAGAGATGGATTCATACTTTTCCTTAAGGGTATTTGTGCATATATGAATGTAACAAACATTACTGGAATTTGAATTTGACTTTCCAATTGCTCATTCCAATCCACTATCCATTACATATACAAGCAATGAAAGAAAATCAGTAATTGACAGTTTGAAAATTTGAAGATGGTATGGGAATTCGATAGACTGCCCAGAAAGTATCCATCTGTATATCTTGTGTGCCTATTCTTCACATCTCCTGCAATGTTATTTGACAAAGTATGTCATCGGGGCCTGTCAGCTCAACCTACAGAATAGATTTGCCTTCATGAAACCTGTGGATTTTCCCAAAGCTAAAACCACCATTTAAGAGAAACATGATGAAGCAACTGATGACAATCCTGAAAGATGCACTTTTGTGTTATAAGGAATAAATAATATCTACAGAAAGATCATTTAAGTATTTTTTTAAGGAAATTTTTACAAAAGGACAAATACATTGAACCAAAAATATTTTCTATTAAATATTTAGGACTTCAGTTTAAAATGATGTTTACATTGATGAAATTGCACATGCACATGAAGAAGGGATGCAAAACTTTTTTTTTTTTATGTGTTTGGGTATATAGTCTATTTATTTCATATATATAAACATATTTTTAAAAAAAAAAAAAATTAATTTAAAATTTCAGCTTCCCCTGCACATAGGTAATCGCATCAATATAAGTATCACTTTAGTCCAATGAAGTCCTAAAGGACGAAACATGTCACACAAAAAAATTTTCCCCACTTTGTCAGATTTTTCTGAGATATATAGTTTATACGTTATTTTTATAGATACAAATATTTAAGTAAATGCCCTGTTTATAATAAACAGTATTAACAACATTTGCTGGTCTGAATGTCAGATTTAGTCCATTTTATAATATGTCATTTGTTTACGTTAAGATATGCTTCAAGCAGATATGAGCATTCGAGAGAAATCATGAGAAATTTGTAGTTTAAAAACAGTAATTTGATCTTGATAATCAGCCGCTTCCACTGTAGCTAAACAGTATAGCACATCAGGCTACATGATAGTTAAGTGTAGGATACAGGTTTGATGGAGAACACATAATTTCTATGAAATTTCTCTGACATTCAGACGGAAAATGCTGTTAATACTGTTTATTATAAACAAAGCTTTTACTTAAATATTTGTATCTATAAAAAATAATGTATAAACAGAAAATATATTAAAATAATTGTCAGACTTAGTCCATTTCATTATTTTATATATATATATATATATATATATATATATATATATATATATATATATACACACACACACACACACAGATTATAACTGTTGGTATAATCCAGGTGAGTCCTATTAACACAACATAGAATTTGAAATAAGTTAAAACTGACTCACAAAAGAGCACTCAATGTGTATTTTCATTAAACAGAGCAGATTTTCTTTACAATTGGAATTATGATTAATTAGTTAGTTAATGACCATTTTCATCTACCTACACCTAGAGTATCTCACTACAAACTGATACCATAAACAGTTTGAAAAATCCTGCGTATTTTAAAATTAAAATTCATAGGTGAAAATGGTCATTAACTAAAGATATCTTAATTCCAATTGTAAGGAAGTGTGTGTGTGTGTGTGTGTGTGTGTGTATACACCAATTCAAATAAATCCAATAAATAATTATATTGGATGTACTGCAACATGCTTAACAAGAAGGCTCACATTACATCTCTCTGACCATAATACAAATGCAGTAGCCTCATCCACATGTTTTTTTTTTTGTTTTTAAGGCTAAAAATAATGGAAGCATTATTAATGAAAAATAAAAGAAAAAGCCAACACTCAATAATATCAATGTACTGACATTGTTTGGAAAATAACACATTCTTATAACTCTAGATACATGCATAAACAATCTATACGTTCAGTTAAAAGTAAAACATAATGGCTAAAAGTATTGCCAAAAGCTCTTGGATACATAAAACATTTGGACAATTTCTATATAATTTATATACTGAAAAAAAAAAATTAAGAATACATGAAAAACTATACAAGAAACTTAAACCACAGCAACTTGAAGGTCGTTTTTAACAAAACTTGCATAAGAGATTGCTGTCCAAATACACAATTTATTATATTTATTTTTATATATATATATATATATATGTGTGTGTGTGTGTGTATATATATATATATATATATATATATATATATATATATATATATATACACACACATACTGTCAAATTGTTGTAGATTGTAGTGTATATATCTTGCTTTCAAATTAATGGATGTTAAATTGTCATTTCTTAACTGTTAAAATATTCAAAAATATATATTACACTTTTGAATTGTTGAATAATTTTTTTTTTCTTTCCAGATTTCTCAACAATGTATGAAGGACTGTCGACGGGCTGCTCTCCAGTCACAAAAAGTGATGAAAGAGACACCACAGAGAGCTAAACGAATTACCCGGGAAATGCAGATTTATTGGAAACGGTTTGAGAAAGTTGAAAAAGAGCATCGTAAGCGAGCTGAGAAGGAGGCTCAAGAACAACGAAAAATGGATTTAGAACTTCGAGAGGTGAGCTGGAAAATTTTAAAGATTTTTGCAGGAAACTCTCCCTCTCTCCTCTTCTCTTTTCTTTTCATTTATCAATGTAAGATAAATAAATGTGGAGTAAACATCATTTGGTGACCTCCAATCCCCCACCCACCCCATTGTTGGACAATTTTTAAGAGGACAACGAAAATATTTGCATTAGTTTTGTGTGAATAATTCATGTATTTGTAAATTGATTGCACGTTTATTGTAATTTAAATAACTGATCCAAGTGCGACTTTTAGATAATAAGTGCGACATTACTGTAATTATTGAACAATATAGTTCATGCCACTTTGACAGAAAAATTTACCAGTAAAAAAATTTGTTCATCACCATATTTTGTATAAACGCAAACACTTTAAAAATTTAAAATCAAACTCAGCATTGCTTTGGCGCGTTCCAAAACCAATAACTCATTTTCAATAGAATTTTCGGATACAACAACACATATTTTCGTTGTCCTCTTATTACTAAGAGAAAAAAACAAGAACAACATCTATTCTATACCTGAAGATGTCTGTAGGAACAGACGAAAGCTTGTAGTAAAAATAAGAACTAATACGGCAGAAATTTATATAAACAAGGATCAATTCATTCATAACGGATCTGGAGGATTTTGTATACTATTTGAATTGTTTGCGATGATGGATGTCTCGCCATTTAAATCATTAACCTTTGCATTAGTTTTGTGTGAATAATTCATGTATTTGTAAATTGATTGCACGTTTATTGTAATATATATATATATATATATATATAAAATCTTTTATTATTATTTCACCCGCAAGCAAAGCAATAAAGTCACTATGACACAAGGGGTTAATGAGTGTGAAAGATTGAGAAAAAGTAAAACTTTAATTAAGGGGTGAGAACAATAAATGAGCAGGAATTAAGAATAAAAACAGATAATGATTGACATTGCATTTAAATTTTTGAAGATCAAACTTGACTGGGAAGGCAAGAAGCTGGAAGAGAGTTTCACAAGTGAGAAATGCAATAGAAAAAACTGTTAGCATAGAACTTATTTATAAAAGCAATTAAAAGCGTTTCTAATTAAATAATGTCATAGTTTTATTGCATTTTTATTTTATGATTCAGAGCAGATTTTCAGTAAATGTTGTTTCTGTTTTGATAAAAACAAATTGATGATTGAAATTCTCCAAGTAGTCATGATTTTAACTAATATTAATATGTAACCCACCTAGCGACAATGGTCTTATGTTCACTAGTCCATAGTTGGGGTAAACTTTTGTCTCTTTTGTCCAGGCGCACTTCGAAACTAAAGCTGGAAAAAGAACTCATTCAATTAAATGCATAATGCTGTTGATAACCCTAACAACAGGTTTATTGAATATAAAGAAAACTGGTAGGACAAAATGTCTGTTAGCATCTGCTAAAGTGATGTCCAGTCAACTCTTTGCTTATGTGTGAGAGGTTTCTATTTATAACTGCTCAGGTAATGGCCTGCTCATCAATATTCTCAATTCTTCAATCATAGCTGTGTCAGTGTTTTCGTACCGGTTCAGAAATTGCAGGTGTGCTCTTTAGTGACAACATTAGCAATTCCAGCCCCACACCACATCTGACGTCCACTCCACGCTCAGTGAAAAATGCACGCTCAACATATATAAAAGAAAGAATACGCCGACTGCACCTCTTCAGGGGGTAAAAGTCCCCCAAGGGGCCACCTGTTTGCCGTGGGTGGCGACCCGTGATGTTTGGGGACGGGACCCTGGTGGCTGAGCAGGTCATGACCCAGGTGATAAGTGGTCATTAACTGCAACACTCCACTTTGGCCCTTACCTGAGCTAGGCGGGCGGTCGGAGAGGCCCCTCCGATCAATCGGCTGGTCATGACAAGCCCTAACACTCAACCCAAAAAAAAAAAAAAAAAAAAAAAACTTGTGTATTAGTATAATTGCCAATTTATCCTCAAAAAAAAAAAAAAAAAAAAAAAAAATGACATTTATTAAAAAAAAAAAAAAAAAAAAAAAATATATATATATATATATATATATATATAATAATAATAAACTCCCCACATGAGTGTTGGAAGGCGGTGGCTAAGGGTCAATCGATTCTGAGGAAGAAGGCCACAACATGGCTGTATACACCGAGAGGCATCACTGGACTTGGCCAGCGAAGCCAAAGGAATGCAGGTGCTTGTGGCTTCCACTGGATCTGAGTATACCTTTCCTGTAGCCCTGATGTGCCAGGGCGAATGGGTTTCCCCCCTGGCATCTCCCATAAAATTGGACTCCGAGGTGGGTGGGGAGCAGGAATGGCGAAACAACACCTAAAAACAAATGTTTCCAAAGAAATCCACCAAGAGACCACATTTTGAAAGCTCTGACAGTGAGCCAGAAATAATATATCAAAACACCCCTACATATATGGTAATCCAATCAACTGAAGATATACCTATAACTAAAATATCACCTTTCAAAATCGAACAAATACTTTCTAAAAAAAAATAAAACCAAAAACAACAAAAAAAATTAACAAACGGAACAATTCTAATCGAAGTTCAAAAAACACAAGTGGAAGAAATCCTAAGATGGGAAACTTTCAACAACATCAAAATTAAAACCTCCCTCCACCAAACCTTAAATTCATCCAAAGGCGTAGTGAAAAGCTCTGAATTATCACTATGCACATTAGACGAAATAAAAACAAATTTAAAAAACCAAAATGTAATAGATATCAAAAGAATAAGTATAAAAAAAAATGGAGAAACTATAAACACAAACACATACATATTAAATTTTAATATCCCAAAACCCCCTAATGAAATTAATGTAGGGTACATAAAAATAAAAGTTGAGACATATATACCGAATCCACTTAGATGTTTCAACTGTCAGAAGTTTGGACACCACCAAGATAGGTGTACTAGACCCCCAGTATGCGGAAGATGCGGTGAAAATAACATAAGACACACTGACTGTCAGAAGGAGGCAAAATGCACTAACTGCAAAAAAAATCACCCGCAAATTCCAGAGATTGCGAAATCTGGAAAAAAAGAAAAGGATATTTCAAAATAAAATATACTCAAAATATTACTTTCCCAGAAGCAAGGAAATTAATAAACACTGTGACATACACAGAAATATCAAAAAGACATATACCAAACCCAAACCAACAAGGACACCAAACATACGAAAATAATCAACCTATAACAAAACCTGAAGTAGTTACTCAACTTATGAACGAGATGAGAACTCTAATCCAAGAAATGAAAACCATTATAAAAACAATCACAGAAAACAAACAACTCTCCAAGGAAAACTCAAACACCAAAACATCAACAAACCAAGAGACACAAGCAAAAGCCTAACAAGGAGAACCCAAAAGTACTCTCTTCTGAAGTGGCCTCTACCACTAGGCCATCACAGACTTCACCCAATAGGGAAACTATAAAAAAAAAAAACCCTGATGGGCAGGAGCATAAAATAGATCAAGATCAACCTCAAGAACAAGAACTGCCCCAAAAATAAATAAATTTGAGGCATTGGAAATAATGGAAACGGAAGATGAGACCCCACAACTAAGCAAAAACCCAATCAAGGAAAAAATCTAACCTCAAAACAAATCCTGCCAAAAATTAAAACATGGCTCCACAAGTAATCAAAACAAAATATCCAAAATAATCCAAGGGAAACCAAATTAAAATATAATGAGCTACCACTATTAATAGCTAAACAAAATAACATCAGACACATTCAAGAACCACCCCAAAAAAAAAAAACATGGAACTATAACCGGAACCATGACTAATAAAAATCCAATGGAACATAAATGAAACCAAACATAAATGAACTACTGCTTTTAATTGGGAACCTATGTCCAATGATAATATGTTTACAGGAGACTTTTCTGAAAGAGAATGACAATGTAAAAATTCGTAATTTTACCTCATATAACTATATAAATAATAATACAGATAGAGCCTCAGGCGGCACATCCATACTAATTAATAACAAGATCCCTCAACGCAGAATAGATCTTGACACAAATCTTCAAGCTGTAGCTGCATCAGCCACTTTACATCGTACCATAACAGTATGCTCTATATACATACCCCACATGATCAGGTTATCGACACGAATTAGAGCAACTGTTGCAGCAACTCCTAGGCCATTCATTTTATTGGGTGACTTTAACAGTCACAACATCATATGGGGATGCAAAGAAATAAACAAAAAAGGTAAAATCCTGGAAAGGATTGTTAGAAAACGATCTATGCATACTCAACACGGGCACTCAAACACATATAAACCAATTTAGTGGGAATACCTCTGCCATTGATTTAACCATATGTGACCCATCTATCTATATGGACTACACTTGGCAAGTACATGATGATACTTGTGGTAGTGATCACTTCCCAATACTTCTAAATAACACAAAGCCTAATGGAAAAAAAATGCCCCGTTGGAAACTAGACAAAGCTAACTGGGAAAAATTTGAAGAAAAATGCAAAGAAAAACTAATACACAAAGAGTCAAACAATGACACAATAGAGTATTTCACTGAAACACTGAACTCTATAGCAGTAGACAGTGTTCCCAAGACTACAACTCCAAATAAACGAAACAGACCCTGGTTCAACAACAAATGCCAAGAAGCAATTAAACTGCGAAAAGAAGCACTAAAAAATTCCAAAAAGAACCAATAACATCAATCTGATGGAATACAAATCAAACAGAGCAAAGGCACGAAAAGAGATAAAAGCAGCAAAAAGAGAATGCTGGCAGAATTATGTCAGCAAATTGAATTGCTCAACTAAACCAAAGGCAATTTGGGAAATGATTAAGAAAATTATGGGCAAACAAGAAACAACACCAATAAAACACCTCTCAAAAGACAACTCCATAATAACAGATAAAAAAAGCTATAACAGAATTGCTAGCTGAAACCTTTGCCAAAAAACTCATCCAGTCTGAATGGTACAAAAGAATTCATAACCATCAAAGAAGATGCAGAAAAATGTAAACTAAATTTTAAATCAAAAAATCTTGAAGATTATAATAGTTTATTGACACTAAGAGAATTGAAAGACTCTATTAAAAAAATCCCATAATTCTGCTGTAGGCCCGGATGAAATCCACTATGAGTTTTTAAAAAATTACCAGAAGAATCACTAAAATTCCTTTTAAAAATATTTAACAAAATATGGACAGAAGGAAGGTTCCCAGATATATGGAGAGAGACAACAATGATACCAATTCCCAAACCAAAAAGAGATGGCTTGGACCCACAAAACTATCGACCTATCTCTTTAACCAGTTGCTTGTGTAAAACAATGGAAAGGATAATAAACAACAGGTTGATTTGGCATTTGGAATCAAACAATCTTATTTCCAACTTACAATGTGGGTTCCGTAGTAAAAGAGGCACAATAGACCACTTAATACGCCTTGAAACAAATATTAGAGAAGCATTTATCAAAAAGGAACACCTTACAGCTATATTTTTCGATCTAGAAAAGGCTTATGATCTGACGTGGAAATATGGAGTAATGAGGGACTTGAGTAACCTGGGTATAAAGGGTAGATTGCCACAGTTTATTGATGGATTCTTATCTGAAAGAAAATTCAGAGTTCGTGTCGACTCTACACTTTCAGATGTGAAAAATCAGGAAGAGGGTGTCCCACAAGGCAGTATATTGTCCGTAACACTATTTAACATAAAAATAAACACTATAATCAAGGAAATACCACCAGGAACCGATGGATCACTATATGTGGATGACCTTATGATATGTTATAAATCAAAATATATCCACACAATCGAACGAAAACTGCAACAGGGTCTAAATAAAATCAGCAGATGGGCAACAACAAATGGATTCAAGTTCTCTAAAACAAAAACAAAATGTGTCCATTTTTTGTCACAAAAGGAAACTCCATAATGACCCTAGGCTGAAACTTGACGGTTCAGAGATCCCAGTTGTAGATGAATACAAGTTTCTGGGGTAATATTTGACAAAAAACTAACATTTATTCCCCACCTGAAATACTTAAAAACCAAATGTAACAAAACATTACAACTACTGCGCGTGGTAGCCCACACAAAATGGGGAGCAGATCGAAACACTCTGTTATTATTGTATAGATCCCTAATTAGATCAAAATTGGATTACAGTAATTTTATATACCGTTCAGCCAGAAAATCCTATTTAAAAATGCTTGACCCGATCTACCATGGAGGTTTGAGGTTAGTACTGGAGCCTTTAGAACATCTCCAGTCGAGAGCCTATATGCTGAGGCTAACGAAGCACCTGCAAATAGTAGAAGCCATAAACTGGCCCTCCAGTACTATGTCAAATTAGGGTCATGCCCAGCAAATCCTGCGTACAATAGTACCTTCTATCCAAAATACAAAAAGAATTATTCAAAGGAATGAAAAAAGCCATAAAACCCTTTGGACTTCGGATGGAAACAATTATAGAAGAAGCAGATGTAGATTTGACAAAAATCCATAAAACAATCATACCAGATATCCCACCTTGGACCATAAGAACCCCAAACATAAACTTAACCCTCTGTAAATACTACAAAAATAAAACCCACCCACTAATTTTCCAAGAGGAATTAGAGAAAGTTAAGGAGAGATATCCTAGGCACTCACATGTCTTCACAGATGGATCTAAAGTAGGAAAAATAACAGGATGTGCTTAATATATAATAGAAAAATATTTAAAAACATCTCCCAAATGACACCTCTATATTCAGTGCAGAAGTTTGCACAATTAACATGGCTCTTAACCTCATCTCAGAATCAAGGAACAACAAGTTCATTATCTTTTCTGATTCACTATCAGTATTAGAATCACTAAAAAACAGGAAGTTTGATAATCCATTGATAGTGAAAATACTATGTAAATTAGAACACCTATCAAATGATAATGATATACAGATATGTTGGGTCCCAGGTCACACTGGAATAAATTGGAAATGACCAGGCAGATAAAGCAGCCAGGTCTACTCTAAATATGACCATAGAAAAAATTTCAAAATACCATATACAGACCTTAAAATGAAGATAAATAAATACATACTGCAACAAAGACAACAACGCTGGAACAGCAATAGTAATAATAAATTACTAAAAATTAAACCTGAATTGGGAGAATGGAAACAGAGCTATAGGAAAAATAGAAAAGAGGAAGTGATATTGTCCAGACTTCGTATAGGCCATACAAGGACAACACATTCCTACTTACTTGAAGCAAAGCAACAACCAATGTGTTATGCATGCCAGACCACATACACAGTGAAACACATTCTCATTGAATGTACTGACCTAGCCCATATAAGAGAAACGCTTTATAGTGCAAGTAACATGAAGGAACTGTTCCAAAAAACTGACATGGATAATATAATATCGTTCCTGAAAGCAGTCAATTTGTACCAAAAAATCTAAAAACATAAAAAGTTGGGAGTTTTCTGCGAACTTTTGCTGCAAAGAATGTTTTCAACAAAATCTGATTCTTTCTGCATACCATTTCTCAAAAGGAAGAAACTTCCTACGATACAATTCTCTACAAAAAATTTTTTTTTGACAGAACCAGATTTTTCTACAAACCATTTCATTTCTAAAAACCTTTTCAGCATGGCAAACCTCTCCGTTTGTGGAAATGGAAGGGACTATTATATTGGAAAATAATATTCCAATAATAACCTGATTTGACATTAAATGACTGAGGAGGTCGATATGTCGTAAAACACAAACAAACAAACAAACAAACAAACAAATAAAAATGCAAACATTGGTTATATTATAATTATGCACAGACAGGAAACACTGAAAATTTAAATTTAAAAAAAATTTTTAAACATTGTTCCAATATATAAAAATTTATATCATATTCTTTGTGTGTGTGTTATTTATAAAATAAAACCTTTAGTGAGATCCCATATACAAAGTCCAACTTATGTTTGAGAAAATTTGACCTTTCCTCATCCTTTAGTCTTATAGACTCCACTGAGGAATCTGGGACCATAGCTTTCAACAACACTAGGTGTAAATGCTGTGGTTTCCATAGCAATTAATGATTTACAGGATGAAGATGCTAGCCCCATCCCCAACTAGTTTTCACTTACAATACCTGGTGTTCTTAAGCAGTCCCCAGTCTAAGTACTGACTTGTTTCGACACTGCTTAACTTTGGTAATCAAAAGATAACCCATATTTTAGTGTGATTTGATGGTAAGCAGAAAATTTGACCACAAAAACAAAATTTATTTACCTTATCTAGTTTTTATCAAATTCTTCAAAATAGTTCCTTGCCTGCTATTCGCACACTAGTTCACAAAGAGTAGTGGCAGAAGTCTATACTAGATTCAATTCATTCTCACTATTTAAAAATTCCATGTACTTTTTCATAGTACTATGTAATTTTGACTTGACTAGCAGAAGACCCAATGTTTGTTTGTTTTCTCAATCTTTCATACTAGGCTTAATGTTTGTTGTTTGAATTTTTTCTATTTTCATTTTTTGTTTCTTTCCTATTAGGCTCGTAGGCAGCAACGTAAATTAAACTTCCTGATCACACAGACAGAACTGTATGCACATTTCATGGCTCGTAAGATGACTGGAGAGACAGAAGCAACAAAGGAAAGAATTCTAAGGCAATTGGAGGAAGAAAAATCTCAAAAGCATTTAAAGGTTGAAGGAGGAATGCTTGTAGATGTGGAGGAAGATGATTATGGTAAGTAAATCAAAATAGTTTCTTGCTTTATTTTGTATACCCAGAGAATAATCAATAAAGCCTTGAAAATATTATGAGGCAATAATTAAAATTTATAAATTATAAGAATGGGTGTTGAAAAGTTCTCAACCCATGACCAAATGAAGAGAGGGGTTCTTTGTTAGGCTAAGAACTTTGTACAAATAATGCCTCTATTCAGTTGATGTTTGCCTTAATTTCTCAACACTAACAATCATCTCTTGATTTTAAATGAATTTTTCTAATAAAATTATTAATAATAATTTACATTTATATATATATATATATATATATATATATATATATATATATATATATATATATATGGAAAACTATAGATAAATTTTTACTTTGTCATAAATTTTTCTAAAATTGTACATGTAATGACCCTATTCTCTTGCCTTAACTTCTAACCATTGACAACCTCTCTTAGGTCCAAATGCAATTGGTCATAAAGTATAACTATTATGTATTCATTAGAGTGAATGAAATACTTTGTTTAATAAATGCTAACTGTAATATCACATATGATCAGCTAGTAGGTGTGTATGTGTAAAATGTAAATTTAAATCCAAAATTATTTCCAGTTAAAGAGTAACACTGAGTCAATCTTTGAAGTTTTCAGTAACTTCATATATTTCATTAAATGTTTGCAATCCAAAACATGAAAATATTAACAAGTGTATGTTTTCAATACACTTTTTCTGTTAGATAGCAATATAAACTGAATTGCCTGAAAATTAAAGACTGGATGCCCACAAATCACCCTCATTATAGAAATGGACTCGACTAGATAGTATGTGTAACATAATAAAAGGCAGTGTAACCATGACAGCCATGAAACACAGACAGGATTTAACATTGTCTGAACACAGAATGATTGTTGGAGGCTAAAAAGATGGAACAAGGAGATAATTACTATAGTTTGTTTTTTTTTTAGTTTTTTTTTTTCTCTCTTCAAAAAGCAGTAATCTTATACCAGAACATACATTGTGGAATAAAACTTTCAGATATTATCAAAATTAGTGTTTCACTGAGACTTACTCATTAGAATTACTTTCTAAAATATTTTTTATGTTTTATTAATGACCATTTTTGTAAAAGTTGAAATCACTTTCTGTACCTTTTCTCTGCTTTGTGATCAATAACAAATATTAATTGATTCCTAGTATTAAATATAGCCATTAATTAGCTAATTATTGGATATCATTAACAATCCCTTGCTAAATATTTTCTCCATAATTCTATGTTAGTTAGTAGGTTTATATTAATGAATGGATTGATAATCAATAATTTATGCTTATTAAAGATTGTGGAAAAATTAATGAATATAATTTCAACTCATTTTAAGATAACCGATGATTCTTAAATCAGGTAAACTTTCTGTGCTGTAATAAACAAGGATGACTTATTACAGAAACCAGTTAATTGGCAAAAAGTGGGGGTGATGACTGATTAATAGGCAAATGTTGATATTACCAGTTATCAGCTGATTAATCTGTACAACACTGGTTAGTACTAATTCAGGACTAAAGTACTCACCTCCAATCAGACACATAAGCTTCATGGTTGCTAGGCTTTTACTTACAATAGCCTTATAATTAATCCATTAACTGTAGCAGAAATTTCCAGTATTCATAGCTGAACCAGGAAAACTGCACTGATGAAAATCTCTGCCATCCAAAGTTAACGGATAAAGGCATAGCTATTTGCTCAAAATATTTGTCATGAAATGTATTGTTTGCTTGGACAATACTAAGTTTTGTACATGAGTATAAAAGATAATCTTATATAAATTGTGATTGATTTGATAATGGATTTTATACAAATGTTAGGATAAAGTAAATGGTTTCAAACATAGCAAATAAATGTTCAGTTTTCAGTAGTCATCAAATTAATTCACCTTATGTACAAAAGAATTTGGAAAGCTTCTATTTTGACATATTTTGCTAATGAACCATTGTCATCACTCAGTCATTCAAGTGCCATATGTGATACACACTTGAGCCATCTTGTCTCTTTTGATTCATGACTGACTAGGCAGATTTCCCACATAGGCCTCCATTTCTTTCTGTGGTGGACTGGTTGCCAACCAAGGTTATAAGTTCCAGTCTGTCCTGCTATTAAACCCATAGCTGGGGAGAAGAAATAGATTCATATCTTTTCCCAAGGGTATTTGCACATAAGTTAATCTAACCAACCCAACTGGAAATCGAACTCAACTCTGAAATTTAATTTCAGCAAAATCTACATTAGCAAAACAAAACGTGATTCACTTTGAGTGGCTGAACACTTAAGTTTTACTTTAACCATCATTATAGATTCTAATTTCAACTCATTTTTTAATTTTTATCTATTTTGTTATGGTTTATATATCCCACATTGTTTTAGTAAACTGAAATAACATGGTCATATATTAAAATATATTTTATGTCCATTAAATTTAATAATCTATTATTTAATGTACAAATATCCTTTTGCAAATGTGGTTGTGTGTGTGTGTGTGTAAATTGGCAAACTGCTACAATTTTTTTTTTCTAATCTTTGCCAATTATGCATACACAGTAATTACATTTGGAAAATACATTAGCAAAAAAGATCATTAAATCAAAAACACAAAATGCCTATTGTTTTTAACAATACATGTTTAAAAGAACAATTGTTACCCAAATATACCAAATATATCCGGATTAAAATGGGTGCTGAAAAGTTCTTGGCCCAACCAAGAATTCTGATCTTTGATCATTTGGTAAAGCTTTTGAAAGTGGGTCAAGTCAAGAACTTTTCAACAACTTGATTGTTAGAATGATTAACTCATTTTAAAAGATTTAAAAATAAAATTTAAAATGTTTATGGTTTGCTAAAAAAAAATTTTTCTATTTTAGATTCATCTGAGATGAAAAATCTTGCTCTCAAAAATGCAGAGCAGGCATATAATGTGCATCAAATAAGGGTAAGTTATCTTTGAATTTAATTTATTTAATTTTATTTAGCTTATGAGGTTTGTCCAGAATGTATCCAGCCATTGAGAATATCTCAAGAACCCATGGCACAGCTTGATGCAATTTAGCTTAGCAACCAATCAATCAGAAAGATCTTAATACATATATGGTTACTCAGTCAGCAGTAAGACACTATTGAGTGAGCACAAGTATTATGACAGTGACAAAAAAGTCTGTTCTTCATTTATTTTTTTTTTTTTTTTTTTTTTTTTTTTTTTTTTTTTTTTTTTTTTTTTTTGTGTAAACATTATATTATGTATGTCTAACGGGCCAATTATGCTTTGTCACAATCTGGATGTTTTTAGCTCTTGAAAAATCCTATACAGCATCAAAGAGCAAAATATTCTGAAATAAGATACTATTTCATTGGGTCTAATGGGCAGAAAAGTGTTGTACATCTTGTATATATTCCATCAGAAAAAATGTAATGCAGATATTCACTAAACCTGTGATTATAGTTAAGATAAAAATGTTAATACCATTCTTGGAATTCAATTTCAAATGTATCTTAGATATTAATTATTGTGAGTGTTGAAATACTAGTAAATTCAAGTACATATATTGGAAGATAAATACATGTTAGCATATATTACTGGTAATGTTTATGCTGATATGTATTAACATTTGAGAATAAAGTGCTGCCTTTTGTGATATATATATATATATATATATATATATATATATGTATATATGAGAGAGAAAAATTGTATGACAAAGTGAAAAAATTTTGCTTGTGATGTGTTCCGTCCTTCAGGACTTCATTGGACTAAATTTGTTGTTGGTAGGACTACCTATGCGCACAACAGGAGTGCTAGGGATTTTTTTTTAATCTAGCCAAATTAGTCTTTTTCTTTTACTTTCCATCACTTTTGTAAGTAGGAATTTCATGCTGTAATATTAGAAGATCTAATACCTACTTATAAAAGTGATGGGCAAAAAAAAAGACTAAATGAATTTAGCTACAACTGGCCTAAATCAAACATGACTAATACACCTATAATATTTTTTTATTATTAATCTAAAATGTTTGTAAAAGGTCAAGTTATTTCAAAACATTATGGACTTATAAAAGTAAGTCAGATGAAAGTACATGGACTATATCAGCTTTTAAAATATTTATTTTAACTAAAAAGGTCAGAGTACTTAAAATTATATTGAAACTAATTTATGTTCAGGCTAGTGTCATTCTGTAGAAGCATTCATTTGTTTACCAATATGCTACATATTAATTGAAGTGTGGCAAATCATCCTATTACAGCTAATTGTTGATGCTTTTCTTTCTAGAAACGGGCATTTGATGATGAAATGTATACGCGGAGAACAGGAAATTCTATGGGTTACACTTCAGATATATGTAAGTATTCCAAAATAAACTGAAATAAAGTTGCAAATTTTGTTTTATTTTCTTGCTTCATTTTGTTCAAACCCTGTGAGGAAGGCAACAGGAACATACTTCACTACATTCTCTTTTTGTTATTGGTAAAATAACAGGGCAGACAAGTCTTCATCCTTAAAAGTGCAACTAATCCTTGTTAAAGACAGTTCTGATTTCAAAACTAGTGGAAACAACACTTCACTATCTTTTCCTTGACAGGAATGAGGGGTGCTATCAAAAAAATTACCCATGAAACTCTGCAATTTATTACATGGTCATTGCAGCACTGACTCAACCCACCATAGGTGAATATTGACAACACAATCCCTTAACACTGCGATAATTTGATTTGCTGTTAGGTAGAGATGGGAAGTGCAATTTTACATGCCTCGTCATTATATATATGTCCTTTCTTTTAGCCACCATTTGTCAAGAAGGTTGCAAGCTGTTCTTGATGTGGACTGAACACCACTTGTTTTCTATGAATATATTGGATTGATATTGGGCATTTCTATAGAAACACCTCTCCATGAAACGAGCATATTGTAGTGGATTGGTAAATAGGATTGTACCTTTTTTGCCTGTTATGTAGAAGAGATATATAGAGTATAGTAAAGTAAGAGACAGACAGAAGTTGACTATTGATCACATATCATAGAACAAAACAACATATATATATATATATATATATATATATATATATATATATATAAATTTTGAGAGTGGGGGGGTTCAGTTTGCTATGTAAATTAATACCCTTACACAAGCTAAAAAATTATACTTGTACTACATGATAAAGCATATTCTTATGCCCACATCATGTTGAAACACCTGTTCCCGTATTATCACGGAAGTTAAGCAACATTGAACCTGGTCTGTATCTAGATGGGTGACCACTAGGGAATACCAGGTGCTGTGAGCTTAGATGTGTAGGTAGTGTCAATGGGTAATGACTTAGAATTGTTACTTGGAGAGCCAAGTTCCAATTCAAGTAGGGTTCATTATATTGACTTATACACAAATATTCTTGGGAAAAGTATGAATCCATCTCTTCTCTCTCCAGCTATTGGTTTTACTAACCATTATCTCAAAAAAAAAAAAAAAAATTTACAATCTAAAAATATTTTCTAGCTTTAAGTTGTGTATAAGTCGTAGGAAATGAATCCATCAGAAAATAATTTAAAAAAAAAAAAAAAGGCATATTATTAACCTTACAGAATTTCAAATAATTTCAAGTTAAAATACAAAAAAAAGTTAATATCTGTATTATTTAAAGCATATTCTTACTTACCTTTTCTGTTCATTTTTTATTATTATTATTATTATTATTTCCTTAACTTACCTTTTTGTTTGACTAGTAGGGATTAGTTTATAATAAATATATCTAGCAAACTAATTTCCCTCTCACTGATTTTAAAATTTAGACATTTAAAAAGAAATTATTATTTTTCTTTTGATTTTCTTATTCTCAAGTGTTTAATTGATAGTAATATGAAAAGAAAAAATTTAAAAATGGCTATTTCTTGCAGAGCTGCATCTCTGTAGAAACACCTGATACTGTAATAATAAAAGCAAAAATCACTTCTGGTTACTTGAACCATAGCACCTGTCTTCTGCTTCATCACTTAATGACTTTGACTTGATTCATCAAATCGAAGACTACTGCAGATGATTTCTACACTCTGGCCCTCAATGAAACAGAAGTGGCAGAAGGTGAAATCACATTAGCAATGAGAGTTGTCTTCATTCAATTATCTAATAATAATATTTAAATATTTTTCAGTGGACTCCAGTTTAGCAAATCCTGCCATCAGCACAGCTGTCGAGAGGTCACAGCCCTCAATATTTGAGGGGAAGCTGAAATGTTACCAACTCAAAGTGAGTAAATCTCTCTCTATCTCTCTCTCTCTCTCTATCTTTCACTCTCTCTCTCTATCTTTCACTCTCTCTCTCTCTCTTTCACTCTCTCGTATTTTTTCACCCCCCTTCAGTGATTTTTAGATGTTGAGTATAAAATGTGTACTCACCACCTACTATTATGATAGCCAAGTGGTCATGACCAGTTAGCTGAATGCTTGATTTTTATTTTACACACACACACACACAGTTGGGGAGTGATAAAAGAAAGAAAAACTTGCTAGTAAGATATAAACCTACAATTAAATGATTCAAAGGTGAATAGGAACATATAAAAGTTACCATATATTAAAAAATAATTATGAGCAGATAAAGCAAAAGATAAAAGCGGATACATGGATGAGCAATACATTAGAAGGGATAAGGGAGAGAATGAGAAGATACATGCATGAACTGATGGATAACACCTGTACAATTTCTAAAGTGATATCTAATATAGTGTTAAATTTTTGGGAGATTATCACAATCAATTTTAATGAATTGTGGCATTGAGTTTTAACTAATTTATTAATCCAGTATTTATTGAACATTTAACATTATTTAAGGACCTAATAAGGTACAATTTCATGATCATTGGTATTATTTGACTATTATTTTATAAATGGGGACTGTTTATTGCCACTGATAATCACTTTAATAAATATTTACATATAAATATTGTCTTTTTGTTTATGAAAGTTTAAATAGAAGCTATAAGTCTCAATGGGGATATTGGCATGAATATATCTTATTTTTTGTCTACAGGTGCACAAGATAATATTTTTGCCAAATGATTATTGTTTGATAAACTTTATAACAGAATTACCAAGAAAAACATTTGATGATCCATTTACATTTTGATGTGCAAAGAACCCTAATTCAAGTATAATTGATATTCACTTCTACGCTTTAACTAACATATCATTTTTATTGTATTTTTTAAGGGAATGAATTGGCTAGCAAACCTCTACGACCAGGGGATAAATGGAATTTTGGCTGATGAAATGGGACTTGGTAAAACTGTCCAAAGTTTAGCATTCCTTGCTCATTTATCTGAAGTAAGTATTGAATCCATTTTTATCTTTTAGACTTAAAGAAAAAATATAAAACCTTTTAGTATCTTTCTTTCACATTCTCTCATTTATTTATTTATTTATTTTTATATATATATATATATATATATATAAAACCCTCTTTCTTTCTAGCTATCACACACACACAACTGATAAAAGCCAGGGCCACAACAGCCAAAACATTGTGGTGGCAACAACAAAGATGATAACAATAGTTTGCATGTAAATAATGTAAATGTCTTTCTTTCCTTTCAGTCACAAGGTATTTGGGGCCCATTTCTTATAATAGCTCCTGCATCCACTTTACACAACTGGCAGCAAGAATGTGCACGATTTGTTCCAAAATTCAAGGTTAGTATCTTGATTTCCAAAATCATACATTAATTTGGTTTTGGGGCAGGCCATATAGTTTTATTCTGGGAATCGAGGACAATAAAAGGTTATTTCCAGAAAGCTGCTGCTAATCAAAAATAATAAAAAATCGAGAAATATGAATAAGGAAGTTATATTTTATCTTGAACATTCTCTCTCTTTTTCTTTCCCCAAACAAGACAATAATGCCACTAAAATGTAAGGTGCTACAGGGAGTGAAAGAAAATAAGAAAAATTTGGAAGAAAACAAGGTATAAACCTCTTTTTCTGGTCAAAGGACCAGGGAGGAGTATGAATAAACCTGATGAGAGGCAAACCTATCTACTTCTCTTGATTTGTTAATAGGCTAATAATTCATTTATCAAGTTTAATACTTTTTAATAATCCAGGCTTTTAAAAACTTCTTAAACCAGAGCAGTGTACATAGAATAAAGGAAAGGTAATCAGCTCCTCTTAGAACCAATAGATGTTGCAATATAATTAATTTATTGTTCATCAAATGGTCAGTAATAAGGTATCCTCATTTCAAAACATCTGAATCTAACAAGGGATTTTTTTCTTTCTCTCTCCCCAAGTCAACTTTTTTTATGTCTAACCACCTCTGATCTTGCAAAAAGACAGGAAAGGCCCAAATATAAATGTTGCCCAGATATTTGTTTTTGTTCCATGGTTTAAACCAGGACCAAATAATTTACCTTTGTTTAAGATTCGATTCAAGATTTGTTGTCCTTGGTCATGTAATAAGAGTTGTATCTTCATGCAGCCATTGATTATGAGGTCTTGACTTTTTTTTTTTTTTTTTTTTTTTTGCCAAATATCACACAAGGGTTTATAAGACCTTGATTGTCACCATTTGGTTGTGAAACATGGAAAATGAATCATAGATAAGACCTATTTCATAAGAACAACTTAAGGCACCTCAGGATTAGATAGCAAGATCATGTGAAAACAGCAAAACTACTCCAACATACCTCTATAGAACTAGATAATGGAAGTTATTCAGCCACACTTTAAGACAATACCCAAGTGACGACGACTGCAAAGTAACAGTGATCTAGGCCCCCAAAGGAAATGAGGAAGACCTAGAACAATATGGTGAAGAACTGAAAAACACTAGGGAAGCAATGTGCTGACAATCCTGAAGTGAGGTGCAAGTGGAAGCTCTGGATAGGGGAAAGTGGATACATTCAGTGAAAGCCTTACATGCCACAAGACACTAAACTCTTTCTTTCCTTCTTTGGTTCTTTCTTTCTTAACACTGACTTTCTTTTCTTTTCCTTATGTGCAGCAAGACACCTGGCAGATAGATATTACACATATTTAACTTTCTGTTACCCAAAGAATGTTTTTCTTTTATTAATAATACTGGTGAAATCTGGTTGGTTTTGATATATTTCTTTATTTTATGTTTTTATTAACATTTTTTAATATGTAAGGGTGCTGAAAAAGTTCTTAGCTCAACCTACTTCACAAAATCAGTATATTAATGACCAAATATCTGAATACTGATTTTGGAAAGTGGGCTGGGCCAAGAATTTTTCGGCAACCCCTAGCAGTTATAAAAAACAAAAATTAGTTTTAATAGCAATAACAACAAAAGAAAGTTTATCTGAACACAAGTCTTATCGAATGCTAAAACAGGCTGCTGGAAGTGTATTACCTTGCCTAATCATTTTGTTGTATGGGAAGCATTTTCTAACTCCTTTGTCATCTTTTCTTCTACATTTTTCTCCAAAAAAGTTGGCAACATTTTTTTTTTCTTTATTATGACAATAAATCTTTTTTTCTCCAGGTGGTTCCATATTGGGGCAATACACAAGATCGGCGCATTTTACGTAAGTTTTGGGATCAGAAATGTTTGCACACTGAAGAAGCTTCATTCCATGTAGTAATAACCAGTTACCAATTAGTCATCCAAGATGTCAAGTATTTTCAAAGAATCAAATGGCAATACATGGTACTGGATGAAGCACAAGCCATCAAGAGTAGTTCCAGGTTTGTTGTTGTTGGTTTTTTGGGGTCTTTTTTTCATCTCTTCTTTTTTTTCTTTCTTTTCATCTTTTTTTCTTTCTTTTCATCTCTTCTTTTTTTTCTTTCATCTCTTCTTTTTTTTTCTTTCTTTTCATCTTTTTTTCTTTCTTTTCATCTCTTCTTTTTTTCTTTCTTTTCATCTCTTCTTTTTTTCTTTCTTTTCATCTCTTCTTTTTTTTCTTTCTTTTCATCTCTTCTTTTTTTTCTTTCTTTTCATCTCTTCTTTTTTTCTTTCTTTTCATCTCTTCTTTTTTTCTTTCTTTTCATCTCTTTTTTTTCTTTCTTTTCATCTCTTCTTTTTTTTTCTTTCTTTTCATCTCTTCTTTTTTTTTCTTTCTTTTCATCTCTTCTTTTTTTTTCTTTCTTTTCATCTATTCTTTTTTTTTCTTTTCATCTCTTTTTTCTTTCTTTTCATCTCTTTTTTTTTTTCTTTTTTTCTCTTTTTTTTTTTCTTTCTTTTCATCTTTTTTTTTTTCTTTTCATCTCTTCTTTTTTTTTCTTTCTTTTCATCTCTTCTTTTTTTTTCTTTCTTTTCATCTCTTCTTTTTTTTTCTTTTCATCTCTTCTTTTTTTTCTTTCTTTTCATCTCTTCTTTTTTTTCTTTCTTTTCATCTCTTCTTTTTTTTCTTTTCATCTCTTCTTTTTCTTTCTTTTCATCTCTTCTTTTTTTCTTTCTTTTCATCTCTTCTTTTTTTTCTTTCTTTTCATCTCTTCTTTTTTTTCTTTCTTTTCATCTCTTTTTCTTTCTTTTCATCTCTTTCTTTCTTTTCATCTCTTTTTCTTTCTTTTCATCTCTTTTTCTTTCTTTTCATCTCTTTTTCTTTCTTTTCATCTCTTTTTCTTTCTTTTCATCTCTTTTTCTTTCTTTTCATCTCTTTTTCTTTCTTTTCATCTCTTTTTCTTTCTTTTCATCTCCTTTTCTTTCTTTTCATCTCTTTTTCTTTCTTTTCATCTCTTTTTCTTTCTTTTTTTCTTTAACCCTACCCCACATTGCTTTAGGAAAAGAGGGAAGATTGACAAATTTAAATTTATTTAATTGACCATTTTATGTCCAAGAAATATAGAAAAGGAATTTTTTTTTTTTTGTGCTCTTAAAAACAATTTTATGATTTACAAATAGATTTGAAGAGCTTAATAAAAGATAATTTAATTGTTTTTTATATATATATATATATATATATATATATATATGAAAGAGAGAGTCTATCAAAAATTAGTGTGTGAAAGACATCATATATTATTACAACTAATTGTTTTTTTACCATTCAGATATACAGCTCTTAATCACATTGGTTTACATTCCTGTACAATGTCTTGTCAAATTCTTCTAGTTACACAGAAAAAAATGCTGATATGTTTTTGTTTTTTTTAACATGTCCCTTTAGGATGTAGGCAATTATAACTCGCCATAACTTTCTTTTCTTATCTGTAAATTAGGAACCATTTTAATTTACAAAAGATAATTTACTGGTTTCCAGTTGTCTTCTCCATAGCTTTGAGATTTGTTCAACATTCAAGCTGTTTGCCCTACTATTTTACTGGTTAGCAAAGAAATGGAATTAGTACAAAATGAATGTAACAGCCTTGACTGGAATTTGAACTTGACCTACTGGTTCCTTTTTTTTTTGTTTTCCTCCACTGATAATTTTCAACACTACTCTCACAATTATATAGAAAAGTATTTTAACTAAAGGGAAATGTATGAATTGAGGGCTGGCACATATGTTGACTTTCCAAGTTTAAATGTCAATGTATTTTATATTTCAGTGCTCGATGGAAAACATTACTTGGCTTCCACTGTAGAAATCGTTTGCTGTTAACAGGAACCCCTATCCAGAACAGTATGGGAGAGGTGAGTGGTAATTTTTCATTGTATGATATAAATATGAGAAATGTTTTCAGTTCTTTATATCATTCTGAGTACATTTGGATGTTAATTCTTTTTATACTTAAATTTAATGATTGTGTCTTGTAACATTGTAAATTTCTTTTTAGTTATGGGCTCTTCTGCATTTTATTATGCCAACCTTGTTTGACTCCCATGAAGAATTCAATGAATGGTTTTCAAAAGACATTGAAAGCCATGTAGAAAGACAGTCAGGTATTGATGAAAGTAAGTAACTATATTTTATCAGCACAAATTTGTTCATTGTATTTACACTACATTGTTTCATGGTTGACATACATTCAGTATTATGAATAATATTTATGTCCCTTTTCTATTATATTTCACTAACCTCAGTTATTTCTTATGAAGCTTAACAAATGCTTCTATATTAATATTTTTCTGTAGTTTTAGATAAGAATACCAACCAGATTGCCTGAACTTTTAGTATGGGATGGGTTGACTGCTCTGAGGAGAGAGGTTAAAATTTTCATTATGGCTTTTGCCAGTTTGTAGGAAGCACTACCAATACCTGACATAATCTGCTTTGTAGAGTTTAGGGAGACCATAAAGTATTCTAGTGTGATATTCTATTAGTTTATATCATGATTTGTTTGCATTACTAATTAGTTTTCTAATCACCCGATTAAATTTTTGTGTTTCAGTAATTATTTATCTTTCCATGTGTTGATATTATTGAGTAACAAGTTAATTTTAGCATTGTATATGTTCCTATTTGTAATAACAATCCCACCTCCCTTATCCGAGGAGGTAATGTGAATTTCTTTATTTTTTGCTAAGTTTCAAGTGTCTCTGTGGTAAAGTTCTTTCGTTGTTCGTTTCTAGAGTGGCAGTAATTATTTCTTGAATAAAGCCATTGGTGAATTCTGTATCATATTGTCTATGACGTTTAACTATTGTATCAACTAGGGCACCTTTATGAATCCTGCTCGTGAATTTTAAACTGAAGCTGAGGGATTTCAATTTGATATTGGATAGATTTATATCAGGTTTGGTCTTCTGATGCATTTCTATTTGCTATTGGTATATAGGTGTTGAGTTGATGTAATTTGTTGATTTGATTGATGTTAATATATTTTATCATCTGCTGTAAATAAGCTATTTATGATTTTGTTATAGTGTTCTATTTGCAGAGTTCTAGTTCAACATTTTTAGCTTTTAGTTAATTTTTCCATTTCTTCAGTAGATGAATTTTTTTTTTTAAAATCATGTGTAGGTTGGAAATATATAATTGGATGATCTTACATATAAAGCTAAAATTAATTTGCTACTCAATGATACCGACACATATGAAAAAATAAATGAACACAAAATAATTGCTGAAACACAAAAATTCAATAGCAATTAGAAAACTAATTAATGAAAACAAGTCATGGTATATCACCCTAGAATACCCAAGTTTATGGTCTACCTAAAATCCACAAAGTAAGCATCCCAATGTGCCCCATTATATCAGGTATTAGTAGCACTCCCCACAAACTGGCAAAAGCCATAATGAAAATTTTATCCCCCCCCCCACCTCCTCTTCAGATAAGAATATAGATAATGAAAGTAATGAATCCTAGAAACACCATTCTTAGTGTAAAGCATGCGGGTAGCAATGTTATGTATTGGGAACATTTTAGTCAAAATGGAATAGTCTTTTTCTATAAAATCATTGAAATCAGGAAAACAAGAATATTGTGATTTTTTTTTTTTTTATATATATATTTTTTTTTTTTTTTTTTATATATATATATATTTTTTTTTTTAGTGAAAAGCTACCATTTTAGAAGACTACATTTTCCTTTCTAATATGATAATGATAATGAACCTAAATAGACAAATGAGTGTAAAAAATTGGCACCGTCAAGATCTTACTTTGTTCTGCAATAAATCCAAATCTGAATCAAGTAGAAAACATTTGGAAAGTACTTAAGGTTAAGTTTCATTCAAAACAATCTTCAAATTTAAGAGTTTGAGCAACTTGATTTAAAGTGCCATATATATTCATGTACAAGCATACTGTATGTATAGTGTGACCCCTGAATTTTTTTGTGAAAAGCCTGATTATGAGTGTATAATGTGACCCAAGATTCTGAGCAATGCTAGTAGTCCTTTCATAGTCAAATATTGCACTACTGGGCATGATCCTGGACATATTTTATAGCAAATAAATGTTCTTCATTCTTTTTTGTACCATTATGCTTAGCCACCAAAAGTACATTATTCGAGCATATACTGTAATTTGTAGTAGATTAGTTACTAAGTAGAGAAATTGCTAATTTAAATTATTGACCAGAGGTTATGCCATTGACTATTAGCTGAAATGAATGGGTAATTTTGTTCTCACTGATTTTGTTCCTGTTATTTTCATAATGTTATTATATTGAATCAAATTTCTGAAAGAGATTGAGTATTTATTCAATGTCTCAGATCCTATTCTAGCTTTTATACAAAAAAAAAAATTTCTTTTCAATATTTGAAAAATGAATTATTTTAAATGAAATTGATTGTATCATATAGATAATTTTGCACTTCACTTTAGTAAATCAGAAAGTAAAGGCAATTTTGAAATAAAGGTGTTTGGAAATTGCCTTTGCTTTTTGATTTGCTATCATATATCATTTTCTATAAGCTATAAATAAATGTTTTTGTTGTATTTCAGATCAGTTATCTCGGTTACACATGATACTAAAACCATTTATGTTACGACGTGTTAAAAAGGATGTTGAGAATGAATTGTCAGATAAGGTAATTTTTTTTTTTCATCACTAATAACTGATTTATTTTTAAGTTATTTACATGACTATTAGGTTAAATATATTGAAGTTTTTAGACTTTTCATCCTGCTTTTCAATCTTTTATTTTCTTATTGCTATATTGCTAACAAACCTGTCTGTCTACTTTTTGTTCCATACTTCCCCTCATCTCTATATATGTATATTTTTGTCCTTTCACCTGTTTGTTTGATTGTTTTTTTTTGGGGGGGGGTTCTAAATTTCTTATTTCCTGCCTTTTTTTCTTCTTCTTCTTTATGTTCTTAATTCGCCACGCCACGCCACGCCACGCCACCTCCCCTCCTTTTGTTTTTCCCAATTTCATCCCAAATGAATGGTTTCTTAGACAGAAACTATGAATGATTCCACTACTACACTTTGATACAAGATCACAATCATGAGTTCTGTAACACATTAGCATCATAGGAGCACCACATGTATTGCAACCATAGTAGCAGTGGTGTGTCTAGGGCAAGATAGCCTAACAGAGCCCAACACCCTCTAGACTGATTTGAATTTAGTTTCCTTTTTCATAGACTGGTTGGCAAGCAAGGCCAGAAGGTGCAATCTTTTCTACTATTTGCCCATAGCTGGAGGGAGAAAAAATGGATTCATACTTTTCCCAAGTGTATGCATGCATACGGGAATGTAACAAACTCGACTAGAATTCAAACTCAACTCTCCAATTTCTTATATTGGGTTGCATCCATATATGATATGTTAGAGAACCATAAATCATACATACCTGGAGGAAAGTAAAATAATATAGATTATAATAATAATACAATTATAAATAATAATACTGTAAATTTTTTTTTTCTTTCAGATTGAAATCCTTGTTTACTGCCCATTGACAACTCGTCAGAGGTTGTTATACCAAGGAGTTAAGAACAAGATTTCTATTGATGATTTATTACACAGTTCAACAGCCAGCTCTTCACAGGCACAATCTACCACCAGCAGTCTCATGAATTTAGTCATGCAATTCAGAAAGGTAATAAACACTTCTAATTCTGTCTTTGGCCCAAAGGTTTTGTAATATCCTCTCATTTGTAGCTTGTATTGTTTCATTCCCTAAATCAGTTTTTGTTTTATTTTTTTTCAGAAGATATAAAACATAGAATTGTTCCAATCCATTTTAGGCAGTTAGACTTTTGTGTATCACGTTATGAAAATCAGATTTTTTGCTAAGCTTCTTTTCAGATTTTACAGCCATAGTAGCTGGGCTTTATAATGCAGCCAATGAAATCAAAATCACTATTCTTGAAATATCATAATAAAGAAATTCTATAAAGTACTTGTAATCCGCATATATAAAGAAAAGGTCTAAACTTGTGTGTGTGTATGTATGTATGTATGTATGTATGTATGTATAAATAAAAAGAAAGAAAACTAAGATATATAATCCGGTGTTCTTATAGATATTTTTATTTTTACAAAATAGTGCTCAATGTAAATTTACTGAGTATTAATATTATGAATTAATTCATTTAAAATGTTTTTTTTTTGCTACACAGTTCTAACCAAAATTCACTTGAGGATGAAATGGAACTAATGTCTTTAATTTAATTACAAAATTAAATTCGGGGCTTTTAGCTTCCATTTTTGAAACATGGTTAGAACTGTGTAGCGAAAAAAAAAAACATATTTTAAATCAATTAATTTATTATATATATATATATAATTAATACAAGTAAAAAAAATTTGTCACTAAACTGATTGATGTTACCTTCAGCATCCTGTGTTCAGAGTTTCATAGATAGACCCTCTGGGAATCACTCTGTCCACTCGTCGTATCAGCAGTTGACTGCTTATACTTCTCGATTTGTCTTTTTTATATGCATTTATATATTTTTATCACTTTAAATGTTATTTTTAGTGAATATTTGAGTAGGCACCCCGTTTATTTATTACACAGTATATTTATTTATTTTTGTCTACTGGCCTGAATTTTTGAGAAATCTTATTAAAGAAAAATTGGCACTCTCCTGATAGTAGACGAAAATAAATAAATAAATGGAGTACCTAATCAAATACAAGTATCCACTAAAAATAACATTTAAAGTGATAAAATCTGTTGGTTTAATAAAAAATCCATTCTGAAATATATATATATTTGGGGGGTTGCAAAAGTAGACATACAGTAAGTTAATATTATTGATGTTTGTGTAATCAATACAATGGTTTGTTTTTCATTACTGTATACATATTTCTGCACACACGCCACCCCTTTGTATATATAGACAAAAAGAAAACTTTTCTTTACTGATACATTTTGTCCTCTGATGTACTTTATCAAGGTAAATATAAGGATTTATTTTTTAATCATTTCAATTTCAAACAAGGCAATAAAGCCACTAAGGTGCAAGGGTTTACCAAGTGTGAGAGAATATGAGAAAAAGAAAACCTTAAGGAGAGAGAGAGAGAGAACAATAAAAGAAAAGGAATTAAGGATACAGAAGATAATGATTGACATTGCGTTTAAGTTTTTGAAGCTCAAAGTAGAGTGGAAACAACAAGCTGGAAAGATAGAATGTGATGCATGATCAATTTAACATTGGGGCTCTACACATCTAAGTGTGGACAAGAACAAAAGTTATGCAGTGTCCAGTCAGTGTGATGAAGTTATAAATCTTTTAATTATCTTGCATCTTTTTATACATTACTTCATACATTTTATAATTGTTACAATAAAATTGCAATTATTTTACTACCAATAAAAACAATTGAATTTTAATGTACAATTTTGCAATTCTTCCTGTATATTGCTGAAAAACATTCATTTTAATATCAAAAAATAATTTCTATAAAAGAAAATCCTTGGCTATAAAATGTTCACATTGCAAAATTTTTTATTTACTTTTCTTTTAGGTCTGCAACCACCCAGAGTTATTTGAAAGGAGAGAAGTCCGATCACCTTTCTATTTTAAGCTGGAGCCTTACCACATGCCAAAATTAATTTACCGAAGAGGTAAGTCAGTAATAAAGATTTGATCTGTGCAAATTATATCTTCTCTGACGGAGACAATAAACAAACATCAGAAATGAAGAAATTGTACAATGAATCCAAGCAATTATTCTGATTATTCTACTCTGTTGACCCTTACAAGATGTACCCATGTCTGATATATCTGCTGCCCACAAAATAACATCAGAGAATTGTAACATCTAATAATAATAAACCCAGCATTCTCCATTGCATATAAAAAGGAAAAAAAAAAATCATCTACACACATGACTGATGCATATTATTGTGACAGGATGGAAAAACTTTCTGCATTTTGGGTTAATTCCATCCAATTTAAAATATAAAATATAATACTATTTATGATTTTCTTCATTTCATTTTATTTTACTTATATATTTATTGTTCATAATGGTCATAAATTCAATTCCTACACACCCCTGATAAAAAGTTGGATACAGCAATTATGTTGAATTTGGAAATCTTGTACATCTGCAGCAGCCAGTTTTGCTAAAAAATCATTTGCTATTTAGAAAAAATGATGGTCAAACTTAGTATGTATAAAATGTCTATTTTTCAATAAAACATGTTTAAAAGAAAAATTTCTGCCTAATTATACTACATTTAATAATAAAGTGTATTTGAAGATATGATTGCACAAAAAAAAGTTATTTAACCTCTTCTATCAATCTTTGTTTGTGTGTGTGTGTGTGCGTGCACACACACAGTCCATGACACCTTCAATAATCTTTAAATCCTATGTTTTTCAACAGCACATTCATTTAGGGTGGGACAGAAATATCCCAACAGTATTATGTAACAAACGACTGAGATTATTTAGATATTTTCTTGGGACATTCCATTAGGATAAAAAAAGATTTAATGCTTTTTAATCTTGCTAATGAAAATAAAGTCTGTCCCATTCATAAATAAAAGTATTATAATTCTGTGCACTTTTCCTTTTGCATATCAATTAGCCTTGCATCAGGTAAATAATGGACCACTACTGTTTTACCTCAGATAAATAATGGACCTTTTCTTTCCAAGAATTTCCAAATTAATGTTTTTCACTGCAAAAAAAAAGACTCTAAAATTTCCTATACTAACCTTTGGTGCCCTGCTGATGCAAGAAAAACAACATTATAACAAAAATTTTGAATGTTCTAAAAAGGATTAAAAAATATAATTTAATAATTAAAAATCCTTTAGTCTTTCCTTTCCTCTTACTTAATAACATAAACATTTTAATGATAAAACTTTGTTTTTATTAAGTTTAGGGCAATTTTTTCATCATGTATAGTCATTTTTAGTTAATCTATGGTAGTACCCCCCTTAAATTTATAGTTATTTAGTGCCACAAACAAACACTAAAAAATGATATTTTACAAACACATAATCACTTACATTCTTAAACCATTACATGTTTTAATGTTGAACCAAAATACAAACTAAAATGTCTGCTTTTGAAAGTAAATATTTGAAATTGACCTTTTCTTTTCTTACTCTCCTTTTTTTTCTTTTTTTTTTTTCTTTTTTTACATCATACTGCAATTAGCCAAAATCCACCCCCAAAACTCAATCTTTAAGCTTATTTTAACTTTAATGATAGCCTAAATGATTAAACTTGTTGTAGGCATCAAATTAATGTGAAAGTATAAAAAAATTTTTTTAAAAGTTGAATTAAGATTCGGTCGTTTCTGTTGTTTTAATTATTTAAGAAAAACAAAAACACACTTTTATTATTTGTGAATGAAATGACACTCATATATATAAAATAACTGACACAAATATGAAAACTCACAACCCAGATGGGCTCAGTGGGCGTTAAATGAGCATTAGTAAAAGGGATTGGCTAGCCACCCACATAGACATGTGCTCAGAAATGAGTGGTTTGCCATTTTTTATATTTATATATATAAACAAAGACCTGATACCACAGAACAGGAATATTGATTTAAATAAACATAATTTTATGTTCTCTTTTTTTTTTCTTTTTTTTTTTCTTTTTTTTTTTTTTTTTTTAAATATCTGGGCCTAGGCTGCCTTTCAGCCAACGCATCATGAGGGACCAATCGTTGGCAACTTTTAACTCATTTGGATTGATAAATAGTAATGGAACATGCTTAAAATTATGAAATACGTAAAATTGAGAAAAGACAAATTTATAATTAAAATACATAAATAAAGAAAAAAATATTTGATCCAGTGGAGCATAAAAAGGAAAAAATTAAGCTCACATATCTCCAAATAAATTCAAGGATCTTAAAAAAATTCTCCTTCTGTTTGCATAGTACAGGTTGGAATAATTTTAAGCATAAAGCTTCCAAAATTAATAAATGATGTTTTGATCTACCTGTATGCAAAATGGAAAACGAGTCAGTCGAAAAACAAGACGAGCATGACTCATTATCTAATGGGCGTTGCCCAATTGAAGACTTGTGCGCTGATTTCGACACATGAGAATGATCACAAGAATGTCATCTAATATACCTAAGAACGCGTTGGTTTATTCTCAACCTGAGACTCGTCCATCCTATGTATTCAACCTCGCACTGACATTTGAATTTATAAATAAGCAAACTTTTATTGTGATAGGGTAGATGGTCTTTAGAAAATGAAGGTAAAATCGAGTGAGTGCCAAAAATAATACGTAGTTTGGCTGAAAAAAAAGTGGCAGGGACAATAGTAGAAACTATTTTCTGCCAAGCCAAGGTAATTTAAGATAAACAGGACACAGACTAGGGCCCAGTTTAGGGTGCATATTAAAGTTGTCTATTTTTCGTTCAAGATAAATATCTCTCTCTCTCTCTCTCTCTATATATATATATATATATATATATATATATAAAAACTGCTAAAAAATATAGAAAAATCTTTTTCCTTTTTTTCTCTTTCCTTTTTCTTCCTTTTTTTCTTTCTCAATATGCCAAAAACCATCATTTAGTTTTGTGTATAATGGTATTTATTTTTTAACATTTTCAACGACCATAATTAAAATCCTTTCTTTTTAGGAAGTTATGACTTGCCTTTATATTTGTCCTACACATACACACGCGCACACACTCCTGTAGCTCATACCAGTTTGTCTGTGATATTTAGTCATTGGGAAATAAATGTTCTTCAATTTTTAGCCTCTATATGTCAGGGAAAAGAATATCGGAGTTGAAAGTGTTAAACACTCCCATTAGAAAATGTTTATCTTTGTCTACATATGTTCTTAATCTCATATCAACTTTTGTTCTTTGCAGGTATTTTGAAAACATCAATGGCTGGAAAGATAAAAATTTTATATAATACTTTGTATATACATTGCTGTCATTACATTCACCAGTCTCTTCATAGTGCCCCCTCCGGTATGTTCTGACTTTGTTTTATTTTGCTTACCAGTTTTAAGAAGCAGTTATTTCTTAATTAAAATTTCTTCAAATTTGTCTAATCAGACAATGTTTATTTTTTTTAAATCTTTCTTTTTTTATCTGTTTTTTAAATCTATATGTTTTAATCTGTATATTTTTATTAAATTTATATTTTTAGCATTTTTTAGTTTGTTTAAATCTACTTTTTGTTAATTTAAAAAAAAAAATTAATCTTTGTTTTTTTTCTATTTTTTACTCTTTTTTTTTTGTTTACTCTTTACTCATTTTTTATCTATTTCTTTTACTTTTTATCTATTTTAATCTTTTTTATCTACTCTTTTTACACTCTCTCTCTCTCTCTACTCTCTGTTTATTTTATCTATTTTTTATATTTTTAAAATCTTTTCTTTTATCTATTTATTTATTAATCTATTTGAAAATTTCTCCTGGCACAAATAATCAATCTTTTGGCTATGTCACTGTTGTGTAGTGATAGAAAAGCTGGCACTTACAGTTAATATCAGTTGGCATGGATAAAAGATGGGAAGCATAATGTAAAAACAAAAAAATGCAAGGAAACTGTCTGGAAAGTATCCACTCAATGGTACCTATCTTCTTTCAAAGTACTTCTCTTGGGATTTCTTCACATAGTCATCTCAGTAGACCCCGACCCAAATCTTCAAATTTCTCCTTTTAGGAGCACCATCACTTGTCACATCTCTTTAATTTCCTCCACAGTTTTTCAATGCTGACTTAAGCTTTATCATCTGCCATGTCAGAAAAGGTCAAATTTGGCAGAGGATATATATATATATATATATATATATATATATATAGTAACCGTTTAAACTGTATATAAGTTCATTTAATGATGTCTCACTAGCAAGTGAGTAACCACATGGAAGTGTTTGTTTATGCATGCACAATAAGGTTCTCTCCAATTGGTTGATAATTTACATTTAGGCAATGCCAACAGTTTTCTAAATATTCAAAATGGTTTGATACATAAACAGACCTGATATTAAATTGATGCAAAAATTCCCAGCAATTTCTTCTTTTTTTTTTTTTTTTTTTTTTTTTTTAACAAAATCTTTTATTCATATAAATTCATAGCATCATTATTCAGTCATCAGAGTATATTTCCTGGATGTCATTTGATTATGTCTTTGAGGTATTTTCAAATTGTTAGAAGTAACAACTAAAGTCAGTTGTGCAGAGGGAAATGAGTGATAGCCTGAAGGTGCCACTATTGGTTAGAATTATGATTTTTGTTTTTATTTTGAGAAATTAGTTGCTTTTAGAATATAATTTTAATTCTAAATGTTTGTATCATCCCAAAACACTTTACCAGTCTTCCCAAATTAATATTCTGTCACCCTCGGATATGACAGTACAATATTAATCTGATCATGAAAAAGGCATTTCTTATTCTAGCGTCTTGAATAAAACTATTCTGTTTTTGTCCTATTTAAAGTCTAATTCAGCTATTAGTTAGAATCCTAATGATTAGTTATGTAGATGATCAAGCTGATTGTCCAATGGCATTCACATTCATTTGTACCTGATTTCTTTAACACTGCTATAAGGTTTTTCACCATGATTATACTTAATTTTGATAACTTTATCAATCCCCAAATCATTTAAAACTGTTAGCATTTCTCTTACAATCTCATCTTCTCCTACTGCTTTGTTTCTTTTAATCTTGGACAGTGCCAATATTACCCCAGATTATGTCCATCCCTGTTTTTATGTATTATAGGTTTCTCTCATCTGTTCTGATGGGAATGCTCTTCAATGTACACATTCCATCTCTAACAATCATAATGAAAAAAAAAAGGATCACAAGCAAGAAAGAGTTGAGTGAACTTCAAAGACACTTCTAAGATATCTCAAATATTATTAAAAGATGATACTGGAAATTTATATCAATCTAATACTAACTTATGTTGATATTTTACATATTTTGTCTTTTTAAGTCACACCACCAATTATCACATTGCATCTTAGAGAATATGCCAAGGGCCTCACAAAGCACTTTATGTTTCCTCTTTATTCATTCACTCTGTTTATACAGCATCTGGCAGAAATACCTCCCATATAATAAGATATTAGCTTGATGAAGACACCATTGGCACTAATGTCTTACCATTATGTTGGAGGTATTTCTGCTACACTCTGTATTTGAAGATACTTTTGTATCCAATTTGGGTCTAGTTTTGCCAGCTTAGAAATAGGTTAATAAAATTTTATATCATCCTTCAGTGCTTTTCTCTTGTTTAAAAATTTCCCAAAGTATTTATTCTCTTTTATCTTGACTTTTGTTTGTCTTTCCAGGTTCATTTGTATATAGTCCTTTTTCATTCCTCCGGTTAACTGACACAAGCCCTCAGGAGTTAGAAAACCAAATGTGTGGCAGATTACTTGCCCGGTAAATATTCTTAGTTTTTTTTATTGCTGGCTATTTTAGTATTGTCTAAGATGAATTAACTTAGATGATACAACTTTCACTTTAACATATGTTTGTACATACACACTTTCTTTTTTTATAGAGTGGTTGGTGTTTTTTTGTTGTTGTGGTTTTTTTTTTTTTTTTTTTTTTTTTTTTTTTTTTTTTTGTTGTTTTTTTTTTTTTACTAAATTTCACCCACTACAAGGCCCAAGAGCTAGAGAGTTACAGTCAAGATGATAGTGATGAATGAAGTGTGTGAATGGAAAAAGAAGATGGCAGGAAATGGAGATTATGATAAGGAGGATAGATAACAATGGTCCCTTAACTTGAAGTGAAAATTAAAATGTTCAGGAAAGCATTACACTATGTCAAAAGCATAAAATAATTCTGATTATGATACTAATTTTATATCAAAGATAAATAAGTATATGTAAATATCTTTTTTCTTTTCCAGATGGTTATCTCTATATCTCTCTCTGAAATCTGCCTACAGGATTTATGGACAAATGTATTGTAATTCAATCACAAAGAACATCAAACGAAAAACCTCAGACCTCTTTATACTCAGTCCACTGAGAACATTATCATTTGCCAACTTACAAGCAAGTCCAAATCTTGAAAAGTTGGTGTTTACAAGTTACACAAGTCGAGTGTATTCACACCTCAGGCATGTTATTCATGGCATCCCCCAGACAGACGCACATCGGTTGATACCATCAAGGGGTCAACGATTAAATATTATAAAAAAATCTCCAAAAAGTCCTACTGTTTCTCCAGTTAAGGTAAGTTTGTTTTGTTTTTTTGTTTGTTGTTTTTTTTTTTGTACACAATAATTTTTCAATAGTTAATATTTATATCCTAACCTTTTCAAAATATGTGCTGGGTTTTTACAGAAACCATCAATAAATGTGGATGTTAATGATATTTCTACTCACCTGCCTCGAGTAAGGCGTCCACATGCCTTCCACTGTCAACCAAGTTTAATGCCAGCTTTCCTCAGTGATCTTATACCAAAGGTAAGATTAATTTACTTACAGACATACCACATAATACCAATATCTCAATGAAATTAATGTTTCACTATTTTTATTTTGATAACAGAAATTTTGTTGTTAGAGAAAAGTAAAGCATTTTTATGGCAATTGTTTTAATGCCCTTTCTTCCTTGGCATTACAACCACATGAATTTAAGTGTAGTACTAGTACTTTGTTCTACTGCTGGAATAGCTAGATGTAATCATAAGTTCTATTCTAACAGTCTTTCTAGCCTTTGAACCTCTCCCGGCTTCTTGCTTCCCTATTACCTACAATCTTCAAAAATTTAAATGAAACATCAATCACTATTTTCTTCCTGAACCCTGTTCTTTTATTGTCCTTTCTCCTCACCAACATTTTCTCATTTTCTTTCACTCTCAGTAACCTCTTGCATCTTAATGGCTTTATTGCCTTGCTTGGGGTGAAATGATTTAAAAAAGAAAAAAGGTATTTGTCTTTTCTACAAAATAGAACAAAATTGTAGCTTAACATACAAACTGGCTTGGATCATTCACATCCCACTGCATAGGTAGTTCTAGTTTTTATACAAGAGTGGGTCTTAAATACCTTCTGCTTATGGCCATATAACATTGAAACGCTGAAGTTAAACAACATTGAGCCTGGTCAGCACCTCAATGGGTGACTGCTTGGGAATACCAATTGCTGTAAGCTTGGATGTGCAGGTAATGTAATGATAATGGCTCAAAACTGGAAATTAAACAGTCACATGCATCAGTTGAATTCATTATATTATGTGCAAATACCCTTGGGAAAGGTATGAATCCAAACTCATCCCCTCCATCTATGGGTTAATTAGTAGGACTTGAATCAGTAAATCATTATTATCTCAAAAAAATTTTACCATATAAAAATAACTAACCTGTAAAAGGTTGATAAGCCATAAATAACAAATCAATCAATTAAATACCTTCTCTGTTTAACAAACAATAATTGTAGATTTTTACTATTTTTAATATATTTTTCACTTGATACAAATTTCTCTTTCCAGTTGGCATTAAGTTAATGTCTGTTTATCTTTGCAGATACAAGCAAGTTCCCATGCCTGGTATTGTGTGGATCGCAGTGGAGCTTGGGATTTTCAACGAGAATTTGAATGTGGGTGTCTTGAGGCAAAAGTGTCTCTGAAATTTGGCGTTGATAGTGATAGTCCTTACAGAACAAAATCAAATGCTTATTTTTTACCCCCTGACAAAGGGGGTTTGTTTGCATCCTATCCTCTGCATGGATGGTCAAACATATCAGTTCCTTGTAAGTAATAATTTCTTTCCATTCCTTGAATTTTTTTTTTTTTTTTTTTCTAAAATTCTGTAATAGTGTAATTTTTGTTTCCTTGTGTAATAGAATTTGGTCCCATAAGAAGTTGTGAATTGTTAATAAGACCTTTCAAGTTGTTTTAGTCAAAGTGAACCAATGTTTCCCAATATGAAGCATCGTTAGACTTTTGGATGGCACCATTCTTTGTGGCCAAATAAGAATGCATTCAGAGTAAGTTGTATACAATGATGCTAAGACTTGTCAAGCAACAATAAAGATGAAAGGTTTATAAAAAATTAATAACATTCATAAACTGTTACCTTTTTAATACTGTGTGTATGTGTATAACAAAAAAAATGATTGCATAGTGACAATTACAGAAATTTGTCTTCATAGCCAAACCATTAAAAATCCAGAATTACTCAATTTTAATCTAATGAAGTAGCGTAATTAGTATTAATTTTTTACTTTTACCCTATTTTTGTAGCATTTTTTCTTATCACAACTTCCTACTTGTTCCTCTGCCACAAATAAGCAATGGATCATTAATCTAATGAAATAAGCATTTTTATATATGGCTAAAGAAGGTAAATCCACTTTTGGTAGTAAATTTGGGTGGTTAATTCACTTAATCATTTTAATAACCTATACAAATATAATGAAATGTCTGTGTGTCATTTTATTTAGACAGCATTAATTCCTCAGAACTGCTGGGCCCTTCTCAACTACGTGGTTTATTCCTTATTTCCAGTCCCTGCTGCTTATTTAATTGTTAGAGAAACAATCTGAAAGTTGTGCTAAAAAAGCAATAGAAATAAAAGAAAAGATTTATAACACCCCCTCCCAAAATATGGTTATAATATTCATTATATTAAATGCTTTCTTGATATATGTGATACTGAGATTCATTTCTAGTAAAGAGAAATATATATAAAAATTAGGAGATCAAGCGATTCTGCTACCTTGGTTTCAACTCTTCTGTAGCATCAGGCAATTTCGCTCAATTGATTTCTTAATGTTTTTTTGTTTTTTTAATTAAGTGAACACTATATTATTTAAAAATAAATAAGCAGTTATAGCACCCATTATTTTTTTTTTTTAAAATAGTGTTAGAAATCAATTGACTGAAATCACCTGAAAATACCAAATGGTTGAAACCAAGGTAGCAGAATCAGCTGATCTCCTAACTTTTTATACTTAAAAGCTCTACATGTTAAATTTTTATTTTTTTTATGTGTATTGACCACCTTTTAATACCACTTTTTCCTGGTCTAATTCAACTCTGACCATTAACTTTTTTAATATATATATATATATGTGTGTGATGTTTCTTATTTCAGATAAGGAGACTTTGGTAACTGATGCTGGTAAACTAACAGTTTTGGACACATTACTAAAGCGATTAAAAAGTGATGGTCACCGAGTGTTGATATATTCACAGATGACACGCATGATTGACCTTTTAGAGGCAAGTAAAAAATTTTTTTTTTTAATTTAAATTTCTTTTATGATATTATAAATTAAGATAGTCATGTCAGCCATGCAAAATGAAATAGTAGAACCATAGAAAAAATGCTTACATATTTTAAAAAGGAATCAAAATTTCAATGATTGCAATAATTAAAAACAAGAACTAAGAAAGAATAAAATAAAAATTAATAGTTACTTAAATGAGTAACTAAAAAAACAAAAAGAAGAGTAATTGTACTATTGGAAAGTACTCTAATGTTACAATATCTACAAATCTTTTGAATTTCATCCCATAAGAAGTAGTAAATTATTTTCTCATTTTGTTTCACAAATCTATAAAAGCCTACAAAAGATAATCTTGTTTGCTGGATATATACTTTTAAAAAATGACACCTAATACTGTACCATATTTAACAGACAATTTCCTTTCATTACTTTGGCTACTTCTGTGACTTACTAAATTGTTATATCATTAAGTTTTTCTGATTGGAAAATTTGTTAACAAATCTTAATAGTCAAGTTAGACATGGCGTAATGCTTAGCAAGTTTGTCTCACTAGATCAGGCACTTGATCCTCACTTGGTGTCCCATACTTTTGGCCTTGTACTATATCTAAGCTACAATTAGAAAACCACCTTAATGTTTGAGTTGCACTACTGGTATATTGACAAAAATTATGTCCAAATATCTTGGTGGGCAATTATTATATCCGCATTACAAAATGTGGATAGAATCTCTAAAAATATTAATATTTTTTTATTGTTTCATACAATCTCTATCCCATAATAGTTGTTACACTTAGTTTATAAAATTTATCCCTAAATAGTTGGTATATTTGCAAATAAAACAAAAGATGAACACAATAAAAATGAAATAGCTAATCCAGTGCTTGGAATCATTAATTTTGAGAAATATTTACATAATTTATATTGAAGCTTTTCTTTACACAATGTACTTTTAATTCCTTTTCAAGCAGTATCTGTATTGCTTTATAACAATTTTACATTTTTCAAACAATGTAACAAATACTGTAACACGATATTTGTGATTTTGCTTTAAATGTTCTTAAAATTTGTTTGGTCTTTGCTAAAAGATAAACAGGGGTGGAATTTCAATTTTTGCTACCTCAGACAATTTCACTTTAAAATACCTCATTATACAAACATACAATGGGGTTGTCTCTCAGTCTTTCTCTATCCAATCAAATCACTCTGTTGTGTTTTGATTCCAGTCTGCATAGATGTGCACAAAAACTAGGAAAGGCTGTTGTATGTTTCCAAGAAAATGAAAGGTGAAATTAACACTACTGGGAGAAATGAAAAAACAAATCCTGTTTCCCGTGTGACTCCCAAAAGGATGCTTCCCTGATCATTACAACCATAACCTGTTCAAGTCTATTGTTGACTATTATTTTCCTCATATATCCACATAAACTGTGCCTTTTGCTCTGTAACCCCCTACCTCAAGTGGCTCTTGGGCCTTGTACAGAGTAAATATTAGAAATTGTAAAAAAAAATTGTACTTGTTTATTCATGGATTTACTTGCACTATCTGAGGTGTAGGTAAGTGACACTTGTGACAATTTCTGTCATATCTGACATGACAGGCTAACAAATCAGTTCTTAAAATTGCATTAAAAGTTCATAAAATCTCTCTCCACCCACCTCTACACTGTATGTGGTTTGCATCTCACCCACTCTTATTGGCAGACCAGAACTGATAGCCAGCTTGTACCCCACCAACAAGCATGCATTGCAACTAGTTTCAGTTCTAATTGTCATTTATATAAGCCTACAAATGGAACATGCTAACTTCTGGCCATACGGTACTAGTTTCTGAATGTTTTCATTTATTTATCTATTGTATTTCCTTTTGGTCAAGATTTTCTTTCATAGATTATACTGCTGGCCTTAAAACACCAGACACTTCAGAACCCAATAAAATCATTCAGGCCACACTTCATGTGGGTTTTAATAATGCCCAAGTCCTGTTGTGTCACAATTATTTGAAAACATTACTATTTTCAGTTTTAAATGTAGCATGCAGTTGTTGCCAGGACTTGTAAACATGGCCTTTAATAAAGTATTGCCAATAATCAAAAGGGAAATATGCAAATGTAGCAACTGTTATGGAACAGAGGTAGTATTTTCTTTTTAGTTTATTTTTGCTATTTTAAAAAATTTTTTCAGGAATACATGTGGCATAGAAAACATACTTACATGAGGTTAGACGGCTCATCAAAAATCTCTGAAAGAAGGGACATGGTGGCAGATTTCCAAAATCGATCTGACATTTTTGTGTTTTTATTGAGTACCAGAGCTGGGGGTCTGGGCATCAACTTAACTGCTGCTGATACTGTAAGTTCATTTCCTCAAGATCTCTACACAGTTACTTGCCCCTTGTTTGTTACTTGTATGTTGCTCATCATAATCAACTGGCATTTCACTCACTTATATTCCATTGCTATTCAAAATGATGTTAATACTGTGGAATGATGTATGATTGAAAGAAATATTTTTCACTACTGGGCACAAAATTATCACATAAAAACAGTGTTCAAATTTTCAAAGCTAATCTGAATTTTATCAGTCTTGTTTCTTTATTCATTTATGCATTTCTATCGTTATCAGGCTTATTATACAATGATAACATAATTTACTTCTTGATTTTTATTTTATCTATTATATATATTTAAATAATAATTTCAATCTTGATCTCTTCAAGTCCAGGATCAATTGCCATCTTTCCTTATCTTCATAATCTTCATTTCTTATCACCTTCTCTTCATATCACACACCTCATTCAGCTTTACCATTTTGACTATAACCCTCTACATTAAGTGGATCTTGAATATTGTATTAGGTGAAATTTCATATTAATAAATTTACCATTTTATTTATTAGATATCAGATTTTGATAAAAATGTACACTGGTATTTTGAGTTTGTGTTCTGTTTTTCTAGTAGTACACATGGTTTTATTTCAGGTGATATTCTATGACAGTGACTGGAATCCGACAGTTGATCAACAAGCCATGGACAGAGCTCATCGTCTTGGACAAACCAAACAAGTGACTGTTTACCGCTTAATATGCAAAGGAACTATAGAAGAGCGGATTTTACAGAGAGCTAAGGAAAAAAGTGAGGTAAGTTACACAAAATGCCCTTTTGTTTTTATGAAGTGTGGTGTAATGTTAAATGTATGTAATCTTTTGATTGTAAGTTTGGGATAATGGTTATGCATCATATGTAAAAATGATATTTTCATTGAATACATCAGTATATTTATAAAAAAAAAAAAAAAGCAATGGATGTTTTTTTATTAGTTACTACTACTACTATTATTATTGTTAAAATAGGATCTTGCTCAACAGAAAGTGACAGCACTTCAAACAAAAGAAAACTGTTCACAAAGGAGAAATTTAAAAAAACTTAAATTCACCTAATGGCTAAATCCACTTTGGCAGTAAGGGAAATAAGCTGAGGAGTAATAGTTTAATTTGTTAGCCAAGGATGGGGAGTTCAGTCCTACATAGGAGTCAGCATAGTTAACTATTATTATTATGATGATGATTTTATCAATCAAACATTATTTTTAATGGCTACCCATATTTGAGTAGACACTCCATTTATTTATTAAACAGTAATTTATTTACTTTTGTCTACTGGCCGGAATATTCAAGATTTGATTTTTCACTTTTTTTCAAAAGTCGACACTGAAAGCTGACATTTGATGTGATAAGTACTGAGACCAAAAATTAGATTCATAGCTTTTACCAATTTTTGAGCAGTTAGTTTTAAAGATCATCTAAAAAAAAAAAGTACAGAAATACCTAATTTTTGCATGTTTTTCTTACAAACTGACTTCAAAATTGACTATTTCAAGAATAAATCCAAATAAAGTTAATGTTTTGTATTAAATGAATGGAAAATATATTCAAACCAGAATTCTTATTATGAATCACCACAAGCAAAATATTTACTGTATTCAAGAAGTAAAACTGTAAAAAAAAATTTAAAAAAAAAAAAATAATTTGTAAAAGATTTACAAAAAGTCTCCTCAATGAATAAGATTAGTTAAATCATTTGATAGATCATAAATAATAAAAACAAAAAATAGATAAGTGTATATAATACCATAATACTGCTGGGCAGAAATTATAAAACAAAATGTTTTAAATTTGCATTGTTTATTGAAAATCACACTAACTACTGCACTGTATAGCATATTACATCATAATATAGCTATTCTTGCTATTCTTATTCAAAAAGAATAAAAACATAAATAAGATAGTTATTGAGTCTGTTCCTGTGTTGCAAATATAGAAGTTGTAGATACAAACAAGCAGATTATTACTATAATTATTAAATTATTGAAAGTCTTGTGCCTTTTTTTCCCCCCACTTTCTCTTAGATCCAACGAATGGTGATCAGTGGAGGAAACTTCCGGCCAGATACACTGAAACCAAAAGAAGTGGTTTCTTTACTGATTGATGATGTTGAAATGGAAACGAAACGTAAGTGTTATTATTGTTTTGCATATTTAAATAAAATCTTACTTATGACAGAAAAGATGTATAGATAAATGCAATACACATACATGTCATATCTGCAATGCCATGTAAAACTCGCTATAAACAAATCATCCGATGAAGGAAGAAACTTGGATCTTCATGCCGTGCAAAATAAGTGTATTAAAGAGATGTTTTTTTTTCTATTGACACCACAAATATTCTAACTACACTCTTCAGTAATGTTTGTTTTAAAAAGTGACGATTAGAATTGTAATAAAATCTAAACATATGAAAGTGAATTTATACATGTTCTTGAGAATTGACAACAAAAATAAACACTATTTATTTGTTACCTTTTTTATTTACACTGCTTATTTAGTAGATTGTTCATTGGAATTCTTGACAAAACATCAGCTAATTGCCAGTTGATTCAAACTTTATAAAATGGTCAATAATAAGGATTCCCTTATTATGGTTTATATATTTTAATAATTTAATAAATGTTTATGAATAAAATATTGTTTTGACATTTATTTCTTTTATAAATTGGTAAATGATAAGTATTGAATTAGTTTTTTTCATAATGTATTTAACTTTTATTAAAATTCCAATCATTGCTTTTTAAAACTATAAACATTGCTGAAGAGTGCAGGCACAAAAGTTCAAATTTGCTGAAACTTGTTTCATCATTGACTAATATTTTTTTAATAAATTTTTAAATATTGATTTATTTTCCTCTCTATCTTTAGTAAAGCAACGTCAAGAGGAAAAACGTGTCCGTGAGAAAGAAAACAAAGAAAGGAAACGAAAACGAGAAAAATTATCTGAAAAGGTATTTTTTTTCTTGCAACCTGTATACATCCAAGTAATTAGGCCAATGCATGTTTTAGACTCTACATATAAGAAAGGTAAAAAAAAGTATGATGTGTAACTAACTTAGAATAAAATTATAATACAAGAGTTATAACAGTGCCTGAATTTTTAAAATAAAAAGATCCTGAAGTAAACATTAGATTTGGCAATGAAGTCAATTTCAGATTTAATTACTGAGAGAGAAAAAAAGTTTGGTGTCTCTTTAGATGGACTAAACATTTAATTAGGATGCCAAAAGAATTGAAAAATGGCACACATGCAGTGTGTTATGGTCAAAAGAGATCTAAAGATTATCTTCAAGCAATATGGCATCCAACCCAGACAATTTTGAGACACTTAGAGCTAAATCAGAGCATTCTACCATTCACCAGACTACTGAATCTTCCAAGTCAGCCTGCATCACAACTAGAAACCAGCATTGAATGTGTGGTCATATGAGAGAGGGGGGGCACTAGGATCTCAAGCTCCAGGAGACCACATTCCAAGTTTTGACTGAGAAGTTCGAGGCAAAATTAGCAACGAGTATGACAAGCTCAGATGTTTCAATGCTAAAATTAAAGCCAGCAATGAGGAAATGAAAATGTCATATTTGATAACAGCGGACTACCCTCTAACTGACTTTAACTGAATTTCAATTTTCATTTATTTCAACTCTTAATATCAGGAAGAGGGTTGAAATTTCTAGGGCACATAATGAGGAAAGAGGGTTTGGAATATTTGATACTTACAGGAGAGACTGACAGCAAGAGAGAAGAAAACAACGCATAACCTACCTGGCGAGCTTGAGTGAATGAATGGTGAAACAGGTTTTGGGGAAGATAAGCAAAAGACAAAGTTTATTAAGACTTACAAAGGACAATAAGTTGTAGAGAGCTGTGATTGCCAACACCTCAAAATGACACAGGATAGAATTTATATAGAATTTCTTTAAAGATCACTGGAACTATTTCTAATGTATTTCCATTCTTAAATGATCAATTAATTAAACCATTGGAAATATCAAGTTATTATTAGGGCGTATCTAGGGTATTTTCATTTCTTTTTTTTTTTTTCTTTTTCCAATCACAAGAAACCTTTTAACAAAAAGGTCCTTATTTAATCTTTAAATATCTTTCATTGATCATGACTCTTCTGAAAGTTTTCAAGTTCTCAATATCTGGTTCTCTTCTATTTTGCGTTTCTAAGTATCATAAACAACTGATGGCCATTCACTTCTGGGTTTTATTTCAAGGAATAAGTTACTGTTCTTAAAGACTGTAAACCAGTTTTTGGCAGTATGATCAGATATTGTTTAATTTCCTTTCACAATTTGAATTCTGGGAGTCATTTTGAGGGCTTTTTTTTTCCCCCCATCTTTCATTGCAGTGTAATTCTATTTATTAAAAATATTCTAAGAATAAAATACACTCTTCTGGAACACTTTATTTGAGGAATATTAGCTTATTTAAAGTTTAATTAATCTGATAAAAAAGATTTGGTGATATAACTTTATTTTTTTTCATCCTGGTATGCTCTTTTTTTTAGCGTATTAATGGGGGTACTTATTTTTGACATGTTTAACTCATTACCTATGATGCTGTCAGCTTTAGTGTAAATTTGATGTGACATTCTTAACAAATGGCAATATTATAGGCTACAATGCAATAAACTAAGCAAAGCAAAAATGAGGATATAAGTTTTATCTCATGACTATATTCCACAAATATTTCCATCTAGAGTTTATTAGAAAATGAAATATTTTTTACTATAAAGGGATAAATAGAAGTTTATACCATATCAGTATTACAGATTTTAGGCAGACATGTTTTAATTTTTGTTGAAGCAGCACCAAGATTAATCTCATACAAAGCAAGGAGAAATGATCTGTCATAAAGATTTGCGACAAGGTTTTACAAGGCTGGATACTCTTCATGACACCCTACTCAAACTCTCATGGTAGTTCAAATACACTGAGTGTTTTTATTGAGACACTGTCTCTAGGAAGTTTGCCATTCAAGGCTTGAGATCCACATCCAAAGGGTAGATAAGCTTCTTATAGGAGCCAATGTGTCTGTGTGTATTATTTTTATATATATATATATATATATATATATATATATATATATATATGCCAGGTCTCATGGTCAAGTTCTTACCAATCAGCCACTGATTTCTGTATTTGGATATTTTCAGTATCTGATCAATATTCTGATAAGAACCTCTTTACAACTGTCATCAGTGTCACACTGATATCCATTGATATCAGTATCACATTTTGTTTCCTCAATGAACAAAACTTCATTATTATAAAACTTAACATTGTGGTAACAGCCCAAATCACATTAAAACCTTATCATTGTTTATCTGTTCCAAGAACTTCCTGCTTAAATTTGAACCTCCTTATAAGCAGCCATCTTGTTCCTTTATTTTCTCTTTTTGAGTAAATATTCTTTCTGTATACAATGTAACATAGCAGGCACAGAAAACTGCAAGTAATTCTCAAAAGGTTAGTAAAGGAAATCAAAAAGAAAGGATTAACCATAAATTATAAAAAAAAAAAAAAAAATCTGTATGGCCACTAGCAAGAGAGCAGCCCAAGATGTGAGATACAAATCGGATGCATCAAAACAAAGCAAGTACAGAAATTTAACTATTTGGGAAATGTTATAACAGATAGTGGAAAATGTGACACAGAAATAAGAAACTACGTTGAAATAACAAAAGATGACTTAGAAACTAAGTAAAATATTAAGAAACAGGAAAATTTTGTTAGAAACAGATAAGTGTTCGATTGTTATGTCATATCAACACTCCTATATAACAATGAATGCTGGACAATTTCCTCAAAGATGATAAAACTTTAGACAATAAGAGATGTATTTCTCCAGAAAGCTGCTGAGAATAACCTGGACACAGCATATAAGCAGTGAGGAAGTTTTAAGAAAATTTGGAAACAAAGGACAATTATACATAAATTGGGAAGAGACATTTCAAATTTCTGTGACACATAAGGAAAGAAGGGTTAGAAAATTTGACACTCACAGGGAATATTGAAGACAAGAGAGACAGGAAAGCAGTGAGTAACCTACCTAATGGGCTTGTGTAAATTTAACTCATGAAAGTGTACATTGTTTATTGGGGGGGGTTGTTTTTTTAAATTACTTACAATTTTCTTTATAGGATTTTTTTTATATGTGTAAGAATCTTCTTATAAGTGCCAAGTCCTTTCAGGACATAAGCAATTATGACTCTACAAACCTTTTTTTTGTTTTTGTTGCTCTAGGTAATTTTTTACCATCTCTCTTTGTTCCTGTTATCTTTTTGCACAAGCTATATTACTTGCTGTTTCCTCACTGCTTCTCTTACCTTCAATATGTCCTGTATATTAAATTCTTTATGCATTCTTTCCTCATTATATATCCCAGGAATTTAATCTCTCTTTCTGATTATGCTTCTATGTTCCTATTTCCTTGTTGTTCACATATTCCATTTGTCTGGTATTCTTATCATTTATCAGTAGAACCACATCTCTCTTGCTTGAAGACCCTTCTTCATCTGTGCAAAAATTGCCCCATATTCACTGCCATATAGAAGATTTTTTATATATATATATATATATATATATATATATATAGCACTTCAGCACTTTTTGTTTTTAATATTTTTCTGTCTTAATACTTTGCTTAGTTTCTGAAAGACATCTTTAGCTATTCCCATTTGCTTTTAGATTTCAGTTTTATATTTTCCATCACCTGTTACTTCACTACCCAGATATGTGAATTTTTGTATATGCTTGATTTTTGACATCTCCAATATGGATCCCACACTTTATGGGGCCTCTTTTGCTGACTATCATGCATGTGTATGCTTACCATATTTTAAATATTCTTTCAATAATAAAAAGAACTTACCTGCATGAAAATGTCTTATGATAATGTAGTTTATGATTGTGAAATTTAAAAAAAAAAAAAATTAATTTCATTAATTGCAGTATTAGTGTATGCTATTTCATAAGTTTACCATTCCTTTTTAATATTTCAGATAAAAGATCCCAAGCGATTAAAGACTGATGAGAATGTAACAATTCCTGCTCCTGACACTGACTCTGTTGCCAGCTTTGATTCTATGTCTGTCCCTGCCAGTCCCCAAAGTGAAGTAAGTTTCTCTCAAATTTTCATTTAGTATACAATAATTCAATTGAAACCCCAAATATTCACTGTTAATTTTAAGAATAAAAATAAAATAGTGATCTCTTATGAAAATTAGTTAACCAGAAAAAGACATAATAAAATCGTGGGGTAAGGATGTCCAACCAGCCAATGACAAAAAAATGTCTGAGGGTACCAGGCATATGTTTACACATTTCATAACATAATAGGATAGGAAGAATTACTTTCAGAATATCTTGTATATAATATAAATGCATTGAGAAAAACCCTAAGATTATTTGAAATTTTTGTGTAATTGATAACGGCTGGTACACATGTGTATTAAGAAGAAAAAGTCTAGTATTAATTTTATGTGTATTACAAAGAAAAAAAAAACTGGTATTAGGTTTCTACTAATAACCTATTAATGTCGACTGTCTCAGAAATGGAGCAGTGGAGATTAATGGATTGACTTTATTTAATTGCCAGTATTCATAATAAAATTAACATGGGATGACACAAATGTGGGACACTTAGTACGGATCAAACTCACTATGCAACAATAATTATCTGCTTGGTTCACTTAACTGTTTTACCACAGCAGTATTGAATGTATTATTTTTTGCTCTTGTAGATGTCTGTTGGAAGTGAATTCAATCACCCTTCAATGGGTCTTGTAGTGGATGATAATAGTAATGATGCTCCTTTGGTTGTAGATGATGCTCACACGTCTTTTCCTCCATGTAAGTCAAAATTTTATTTTTCTTTAAAAACTTTCATATTGTTCAAGTTTTATATTTGGCTTGACTATCATTTACCAGACGCAGGGTTTTAGAAGTTAGCAGAAACAGTTGATGAAATGGAATAAGCCTAATTGACTAAAATATTGGGGCAGTCTCATTGCAATATTTTAACAAGTACTCCTCAGGCCACATTGAATAATCGCATCATTATTATTGAATTATTGTTACTATTTATCTACTGTTAATTGCAATTAGGTTGAATATAGTTACTTATTGAAGATCTAGCACAATAATAGTCAGGGTTAAATAAAACAGTTGATTAAATGGAATTGATAAGCTAATTTATTTATTAGCTTATCAATTCCATTTAATTAACTGTTTTATTCAAGTTGTTGTCTTCCACCAGAACTATGTGCTCAGTAAGCCGTAGTCAAACCATATATTTTTTTTAATCATGTATTTTTGCAAATATACAGTGTTACTCAAATATTGGGTTGGCCAAAACGTTTGTTCGTTTATTAAATAGAAAATTTACTTAATAAACCAAACAAAATTTTTAACCAACTCAATATCAATAGAATATACTAGTAAAAAAAATTTTTGAAATAAAAAAAAAAAAAAAAAATAACATCTTGTTTTTACTGTCTTCTTCAAAAAGTTACCTCTTTAGGAAGTAGTTTTTCTAAGATTCCAGCAAGAAGTCCATACTACATTCAATTTATGTGTGCTGTTCACATTTTGCAAACTTTGCATTGTTTTATCTATCTTTTTCTTTGTCTATGCTCTCTTTCTCTCATGACTAGAGTTACAAATACTATTACAGGTTGACAATCCCATATCCAAACATTTGAAAACTGAATATTTTTAGTGTGGAGTTTGGCAAGCAAAAAATTTGACCTACTTGACCCACACCACTTAGGTATGATATGGCAACAGGTGTCATGATCAGCCCAACTCTGCCCACCACTCCCCCAGCTTGGCTGAGCGACCTGTGCCTGCCAAAAGTTGGTTACTGTCAAGTGCTCATGTTGGGTAGATGTGAGTGTGTTGTTCACTGATTTTTTTTTTTTTTTTTTCTTTTCTTAATTTTTGTGACTTTATACAGTGAAAATGTCAAAAAGAACTACAGATAACCTTATGGGTAACTGTGAGAAAAAGAAAAGGAAGCATCTCTTGTTATCAATAAAACCAAAAGTAGAGCTTTTGCAGCTTCTGACTGTGTATGATTTAAAGAAACAGAAAGACAAGTTTCTTAAATTTTATTGGGAAAGTGATGACCATAAATTGAACAATAGGAAAACACTTTCTTTCTATGTGCCATGTCCTTTCAGGATGTAGGCAGTCATGACTCTCCACCTCCCTCTATCCCTTGCAGATCTCAGCAAGCTCCTTCCCTCTTCTTCCTCCCCAAACCACATTTTGTCATCCACCTGCTCAAGCTCGTCAGGTAGGTCATGCACTGTTTTCCCTTGTCTCTCTTTCCCTCTAGGCCAAAAATGAAGATCTTGACAATGTACTAATTGAATGGATTCAACAACGAAGACGTGAACATATGCCACTAACTGAAACAAGTTAGTATATACCATGAAGAACTTAACCCCTTCCCTGTCAATTATTCTGGGAAAAACATTTCATTTTCAGACAAATTTTTTTATTTGTTATACAGGATGTAAGCATTCTATACTGCAATATGCATCAGATGGAAGAAGACTGTTGTAATCTAGGAAAGGTTACTGAATAGAATAATCACATGAAAATTGGTAATGAACAATAATACTTAGGACAAGAACAACACATAAAGATTCACCGGCAACACATAAAAGTAGTAGTAAACTTCTAGAAGTGAGTTCCACAATGAATCTCCAACTGCAGACCAACATACAGTATCTACTACTGTATTTATGTGAATGGGGACATACCTTTTATTGTCTGTAGGTATGCTACAACAAAGACTCTCTTGACTGCTTCAAGAAAACTAAGAAATTGGACTAGTTTCCAACACAGATGAGCATAAAAAGAATCAAGATCAACATATAAACACTTTTATAGCTGGTTTTTGAACATTGTTTTGAACATGTTTATTCATCAGTGTCTGAAAAAGACACTTTCGGTAAAAACGTATATACACACCTATGCCAGGAGAGGGGTTAACATTGAGGGTGAGTCTCAATATACAGAAAGTTGGCTGCAGAAATTTAAGAAACATCTTAGTATAAAATATTTGAAAATCTGTGGTGAAAAGCTTCTGCTGATCATCACACAGCTGAAAATTACATTGATGAATTTGACAAGATAATATCAGATGAAAACCTTTGTCCTGAACAAATTTAAAATGCTGATGAAACAGCTTTGTACTGGTGTTCTGTTCCAAGAAAAATATTAACAACAGCTGATGAGAAAGCACCAACAGGTTTTAAGGATGCTAAGGACAGGTTAACTGTTCTTGGATCTGCCAATGCAGCAGGGATACACAAGGTGAAGTTGGCAGTAATTAGAAAAAGGCAACATCAGAGAAAGGTGTACAGAATTTACCTGTTCATTATTATGAAAACAAAAAAGCATGGGTAACACAAGCAATGTTTTCTGAGTGGTTCAATAAATACTTCATACCAGTGGCTAGAGCTTGTTGCAGACAAACTAGACTAGAAGAAAACTGTAAATTTTTTTTCTTGGATACTTGCTCTTCACATCCCCCTGCTGAACATCTTGTGAAAAGTAATTTTTTCAGCACTTACTTGCCTCACAATTTAACATCTGTATTACAGCCTTATGATAGAAATCTATGTTAATGAGACAGAAGACACTTGAAGTCCTTAAAGTGATATTTCACCACCTGAGAATCTTGTTTCTGGCCCATTTTTAGATGTACAACTGCAACCTGATGAAGACACTAGTGGCATTGATGTATCTTAGCTAGATGTGATGAACCTTAACTTTAGTGTCCTAGAGTCTTTACCAGATTATTATTCTAGTTTGTAAATAAACTACAATACTTACTGCCTGTAGTTTTTCTTTACCCCACTCTTTGGAAACTATCTTACGCTAATATCAGGTAAGTGACATTATTGAATGACAGAGAGGCAAGCACAGTACATCTATTTTAGTGAGCAACAGAGAAGCACAAGAGTGCAGCATATATTTTTAGTTTGTTTGATGCTGTTCTTTTTTAAGTTATACAAGGCAATTTTTGTCTGAAATAAATAAAATTTATTCATTACTTATAGTCTTAATTATCCTCCTATTTCATTTATCAGTATATTACTCTATAAATAAACTAATAATATTTGTAGTATTTTTTTAATCCCTCGAGGTGTGATTATTCATACGTTTTTGCTGCAATATTTTTTGAATTTCTAAAAACCAAAAAATAGGAAAGCTGAAACATAACTGGCCCCAAGGATTTTGGATATGGGATTGTGTACTTGTACTACTACTACTATTAATAAGAGTAACAGCAGTAATTTTTTTTTTTTTTTAATGATGCTAGACATAGGCAATCCTAACACTCCACAGATTTTTCTTTATTTGTGAATTACCATGCATTCTTAGGAAAGATAGTGGAGTAGCTTCCTATTGCTCTCTACACAGAAGAGAATTCAGTTTTCCTTCTCTCATACTTTGCCTCCCAAGTCTAGAGAGCTCAGTCTGCCCTGCAACTTAACATATATGTAGCAGAGATAAACGGATTCATGCTCTCCCCAAGGTCATTTGTGCAAAAGTGAATGCAACATATTAGCCTGGGATTTAAACTCTGCTTGCTGATTCTACTTTCTATAACAATATCTGTTACACATCCAAAGTAGTAGTAGTAGTAGTAAGTCAAATAAAATGGATTGTAGAAAACAGTTGTTGGGTTATCTAAATTCACATGTTTCTTTTACTGATGCACCTTTCAGTAAGTAATAAAAGTCTCATTCAAAATTGTAACATTTCATGATTTCCCACTCAAATGTCTTTTGCAGTCTGTTATCAATTTTATGATAACCATTTTTATGCCTAATTTTGTAACAAATTTGAAATTTTTATTGTAAAAATATGATAGCTGCTTCTTTTACTATCCCATTTTCTTTTAGCCTAACAGCCCTGAATGCCTACAATTAAAACCTAAATTTGTTTTTTTTTTTTTTTTTAAGTATTTTATTTACCATATTTGATGGAATATAAAGCAACTCCTCCCTCAACATGCACTTCCCAGAATTGAATTTCATAAATGTGTAATAAATGCACAAAATTGACTTCTGATTTGATATATTTTTTAAATTTATACACTGTTGTGCCAAAAGTCATGGGTAGTAGTATATAAAGGTAGTGGTAGGTAGCACCATCATCCCATGACATCATGGAAATACCCAAACCTATATCAGTTGTGTTCTGACATCTGGTAAATCAGTGTGAACTCTGGCTAGGCTGCTCATAACAAAGCTGCGTGAATTATCAGAGTTTGAATATATAAAGAAGCTGTAGACAACTATCAAAACAGCATGGCTGAACATTTTCTCCAGAGGTCTTCTAACCACTTGTGGAATTGAGTTACTACACTTCACTGGACTATAAGGATCCTACACAATCCTAGGCACCTATCCCATGATTTTTGGCATGTCAGTATATATAATAATCATTTAAAAACACTTGAAATTCATATTTGGACACTATAATTAGTGTCATATAAAGGGGCTTGATTTTTTTTTTTTTTTAATCATTTCACCCCAAGCAAGGCAATAAAGTCACTTGGATATAAGGGGTTACTGAGTGAAAAAGAAAAAAAAACAACAAACAAGAATTAAGAAGTCAAAAGATAACATTTGGCATTGCATTTAAATTTTTGAAGATCAAAGTTGATGGGAAAGCAAGAGGCCAGAAGAGCATTCCATAAGTGAGAAGTGCAAAAGAAGAAACTGTTAGCATAGAACTTATGGTCACATCTATCCATGTCAACTGTAAAATGATGAGACCTCTCGTACTGCACTAAAATTCATAAAGTCAGTGTATCAAAGAAAAAAAAAGCTCAGAACAATTATCATGAAAATATTTATTGAAAAAGGTACGGGGAATTTACATTACGACAGTCGTTTGTATTACAGTCAGGTTTAATAAATATCTTGTGTGATAGTAGTAGTTATTTCAGTTCATCTAGCCATAACAATGTGCATTGCAGTTCCTACCCTACCATACCCTACCATCCATGATGAAGCAATGGGCATTCAAAAAGCAGTTTAAGGAAGCCTCTGTACACAAATGCTCTGTGGATGCTTGATTGGTTACATTTAAATTCCTTGGGCAAATTCATATCAGCCACCAGATGACATGTACTTAGTTGATTTCATGATATGTACAAGGTCTGTCTGGAAAGTATTCAGCCATTTTGAATATATTGACAATGCACCTGCCCATCCCTTATATCTGGGACAGATTTTTTTTTGAAAAATCTGTTTTGTCATCCTCCCTACAGTTCAGATTGAGCTCCCTTCAAGACTCAAATTGCCACTGAAAAGATTTCAGATAATTAACAAAAGTCACAAGGCAGCTAATGGACTTTACAGATTGTTTTCAAAATTGAAAAGGGATGCTGGATTAAGTGCATGAGTTCCTAACAGGATTACTTTGAAGGGGACTAAGGTGTCATTGCCTTAGTTAAGTTTGTATTATTATTAAATGGCTGAATGCTTTCATATTACCCATAACCCTCTTTTCTCTCTCTCCTCTCTTTCTCTCTCCCCTCCTCTCATGCCACATTGCCTAATATATTACATTAGAAAGGGAATTATCAATATGGATTGAATTGAATTACCCATAATTAATAATTGTTTAGATATTGTAATAGAACATGTTTCAATGAAATATTTTATTAAGTAAATAAATACTGACAACTAAGTCATTTTCCAATCCAGTGAAGGCAGACCTATAGCACCTCAAACCAGATGCTTTAAGTAGATGTTGCTTGTCAACCAAGGAAGGCAGTCCATGTAGGGGAAGAAAAACCTTAATTTTAAACCTCCATTTCCTTGCAGTCATATCCAAACATAGAAAAGGTCATGGAAATAAATCTGGACAGAAAATCCAGAGTGGAGCCCCAAAGACAGTTGGCTCTCAACACTGACAACCTTCCAGTAACTCCTGCAGACAAGTTGGTCCCAAATGTAATGCTCTGTATTCCTTTGGATCTCGTTGGTACAGCCGAGGGGGAAGGGGCCATGTGGCCTGGGCAGAACATGGACTCAATATACCATTGTACAAGATTTTGTCCTGGCGCAGTCACTCCAGTCTCACCACCCAGTGAGAGCACATTACAATGTTTGACCAAAAAGAGCATTACCATTATCTCGCCAGATAAATGGATGCTGACTATAGTATGTTTAATGCTCTACTAGCCATTGTTAAAATAGTTCCATATCATTTTTAAATTTTACATCTATCAATCAAGTGTTATTTCTTTGTTTTTCAGTAACACCAGTGCCAACTCCACCAAAAAGAGGAACTGGTCGAAGTCGAGGTCGACCAAAAGGATCAGGTGTTGGAAAACGACCCAGAGGAAGAGGTACTGCCAAAAAAGCCTTGACAGCTGCTGAAATAGCAGGGGCTCAAGCTGGAATGACTGCAGCATATGCTGCTTATGGATATAACTTTACAGGTTAGTTATAACAAAATCTTATTACAATTAACAAGTCATTTAAAAATGTTATTAATGAATAAGTGAAGGATAATAAAACTCAGATTCTTTCAACAAGGATTAAAAGAAGTGATTCATAGTGAATTTTTCACATTGCTAGTAATGATTTCATGCCTGGCAAATAAATTCCACTTCAAGTTTTTATTCCATTTCCAAATATTTGACATTACTTTCCAAATATCTTAACAGAACAATTTAACTTGAATATAACAATTTTCTACTTACATCAGCCCACATTTATTCTGCCTTTACACTAGCCCATGTTTATCCTATAGCCAGGTTTGTTAGAAGTGTGGTAGTCTCCAATCATAAATTATTATACTTGCTAAAGAGTTGCCTGTCTTATGGCATTGTTTTAACCTTTGTCACTCTGTATGTGACCTCATTTGCTGTACAAAAAGTTTATCCTGCCACTGATCCCTGAACAATAGTGTTTGAATTTCATAGTTTTGTTGTCTATATCCTGCTATGGCAATAGAAAACAACTTTGAGTTAAATTAACAAGAAAGAATACTGCAATTGAGTCCTTGAAAAATGATGCAGTGGAAAGAGAAGTAATATTAATAATGCAACTATTTACATTGTTCAGACTATTGTCTTTGGTGTTTTATTCACAGCTATTCGCCCATTGTACTCTCTGACCTTCTTCAGGTGATATGTGTTGAAATTTTCAAACCAAACCCTTTATTTCATCCACTAGATTAGATTGTTCTAGTTCCACATGCCATACCTTTTCTGGTGTCACAGTTTCAAGTTGTCTTCCTTTTATCCAAGTTTTTGTTCACCTCTGCAGTGGCCAGGTATTGAACTCACAAATCTTTGGGTCAAGTCACTGGATTATTTCAACCAATGCTTTTATCCACTGAAGAAGGCCTGAGTATATGATAGCCAAAACATGAATATGACAAAGATGAGGACAATAGTCTGAAAAATGTAAATAGTATAAATAGTTACAATACCTCATATCACAAATATAGACATATATTAATAATGCAGTATGCTAAAGGTTAATGTTGGCAACATACTTTAGCCATTATTGGTAACATCATGTTTTAGCTTGTTTTCTTATCCATACTTCTGTTTTATGAGATGTGCATTAATTTAAAAAAGGTTTGACCATATGGGTAACAGAAGCTAAAAATAATAATGTGATCAGTTTTGTGCCTTACAAAACCAATAATAAACTGCCTCCATTAAAACCAGATGAAAATTAAGATACAAAATAGTAAAAGAGGAATTAACTCACTTTAAAATTAATTATTTTTTGTAATTTATTTACTGTTTAATTGGTGTTATTTCAAATTGGTATTTAAACTTTTTTATTACTGCAGGTGTTCGTGGACGAGGACTGAGCCATTCAGCCATGAGTACACCTACCGGTTCTCCCAAAACTGCAATAAAAAATGGAACACCTTAACCACAACCACCCCTGCAACTCAACCATTACTTCCTTTGCTCTCTTTTACTTAACTGCAGCTCAATGAATCCCTCTGCAATACAGTCAGCATTGAACTGTGTTTTTGTTTCTGTCAGGTGTTCAGCAATTGTCAGCCTCTAGTGTATTATGTGCTCTTTTGTTCACACTTGTTTCTAACAGCATCACTACATCAAACTATCATATTGATTCATACCAGATTGTTGTCTTATTTTGAGCCACTGTTATTGTTTCTTTGCCTGGCTCAACTTCTCCATTGCTGACTTTTGATCCTCTCTTACCTTTTCCTTCATCTTTGCTCATTCTTCATCGTACTACAAATTTAGCAACTGATAGGACGACTTGTGCCTCTCTGTGCATGAATGTGTCCTTGATCTTTTTTGTTATACTAAAAAGGCATTCTTTCTCTCTTATTGTTGTTTTTAGTTACTTTTCATAAGCACTCAGGGTTATGTAATAAACATTGAATTTAATTTTTTTAATTTTTTTTTTTTCAATTTGATTGTAGTGGTGATAATTACACATTCAGGATGGTTTAATTGTATGTATATTTGTTTTTTTATTACAATCTCTTATTTCTTTCCATTCTATTGAATAAGGAGCCTGCATCAGATAGCCTTGATATAGGCTTTTAAGGAAGAGGGTGACTTTTTACACATTATACTTTTTTTTTTTTTTTTTTCAGAGAAAAGGAAATAGAGTTCAATTTTTAAAGCTGTTTCTCCCCTTATTTTTTTCTTCCAAATTCTTTTAATGTAGTCATTTTTTTAAAATTTATTCTTTAAATTAGCATTTTTTCTTTAATGTGAGAGGTTTGTTTTAAGAAGTGCTAAATGGTTTAAATTTTTCTTTCTGATAACTTTAATATTTGAACATCCCTCTAAATTCATTTTCTGTTCTTACCTTCAGAGATGAGGAAAAAAACTAAAGAAAAAAAAACAGTGTTCTTACAGATAAGAATAGTAACGGTCCTCTTTCAAAATGATGAAAGAATACTTGATATATGTGATGATAATGGATAAAACTAACTCAGCAGTTGTGTCAAATCCAATCTTGGAGTTGCAGATGTAGAGTTCTGATCAAAGAACCAATATTTGGATAGCTTACAAAACATTAAATATAATGGACTAGTTTAGAACCTTGAAATAAAAATAGGTTTATTTTTATAACCCACAACTTTAAGAGGAATCTTAAATATATTTTAGTGACAAAAAAATCAGATACCAATTCATATGAACACTTTAGTCACTACTTCTTTATTTTACTGTATTCTCTCTGTGTGTGCGCTTCAAGAATATTTAATATAAATGTCAATAAATTTCAGTAAACAGTTAAAGTATTACTCATTGAATTAGCCAAATTTACTTAGAAGGAAAATCCTGATTTGAAAAATGATTTTTAATCTAAAATACTTGGTCTAGTATCAAACTGACACCCACTTTATAGACATTTAAAAAATAATGTGTGGTTAAATTTTACAAATTGACCTTTAGTTTAAATGACCTCTTTCAAATTATGTCTCTTAATAGAAGAAATATTGAATTTGATCAGCTATAGAATACTAACTTAAAAAATATCTGTTTATATTTTATCTTTAAAATAATTAAGCAGGTATAATTTTCTTTATTTTATAAAGATAGATTGAAGGTCGTTTCTAAGCATTTAAAAGGTGATGAATAGTTTTAAACTCTGGGTATAATATCTTGTTTAGAACTAAAACTGAAATACAAATTTCAGAAAAAATAACTAAAATACAAGGAAAATAGAGCCTATGGAAAACAGTGACATTCTCTACTGGTATTGTAACATCCTTTTTTTTTTCTTCTTCTTCTTCTTTTTTATAGATTACCATAATATCAGCTAAAATCACATTAAGCCCATTAATCTATTATCTATTACTTAAATTATGGTACTATATTACTTATATATGTTATATATATAATATACACACACAGTATATACTATATTACTATATGGCACTATATGACTATTACAATTGTAACTTTCTTGCTTTCACTGATGTGCCTAAAGTTGTTTTTGTTTGTTTTGTTTTTTTACTTCACTTCCTATACTCAGCATAGCAGGTCTACCATAACCCATGTATTTTTACTTTTATATAAGTGATTTAACATCTTGCTGCCTTAATAGTCTCTCACCCATGATATTTTTTTAAAAACTATGTAAGGATAGCTTATCTAATTTTAATAGAAACTATTGAGTGGCACCCAAGGCACATGCCATACCTTAAGTACCCCACTGCCAAAATACTTGTGGAAAGTACCTCTGTAAATTTAAAAAGACAATTGTAAATGAAGAAATTTAAAATTTATTTATAAAATCCAGACAAGTGTGTATCTTTTGAGTGTCTGCAGTTGTTCATTGGTTAACAAGCTAGTTTCATAGATTATTACTTGTGTAGTGAGTTCATTTCTCTCTAGGTGCTCCGTTATCTTGGCATTGCGGCAAACTTTGCTAAGTTTAGTAAATATTTACAAGAGGTATGGCTTGTATTAGGAAAAAAGGAATTGATTTTGAAAATATTCACTACTGGAAATTACAATTTCATAAACCTCAGTAGTTCATGTTTGAGATATATTTATAACCATATATTAATATGAACACTGACTTTTTCTGTTTGTTTCTTTGTCTGTAATTTATGACACTAAAGCAAACATAAAATTAACAAATGAAACTTGCACTCATCTGATTGGAGATAAGCAGATGTGGTATTTATTATGCCAGCATTCTACAACTTAAACAACATAAAGAAATTAATTCATAAATACCAAATTAAGTAGAGTTCACAGAAGCTAACCTGTCCCTAGGTGGGGTTCACAGATGCTGACCTCTCCATAGGCAGAGTTCATGGATGCCAACCTGATTAAATGTATTTATAACCCCATCATTTTTTTTTTTTTTTTTACAGATACTATATTAATATAGTATATATTAATCCTGGATTAGTTACTAGAAACAGCAAACTAACTTCAAATTTTGATTGAGTTTCTTTGTTTACATTAATGGCAAAATATATCATTATCACTGGCATTCCACAATTGTTGATGGAGAAGAATGTTTGAGTGAATATTTGGACAAACCACTTCCCCATAACTATGTTTACCAACCAAGTAGCAAAAGGCTACAGATATCCAAAAAGCAATGATACTTACATGCTTGACGAATCATACTTTTCAGTTCAAAAAGCCATGTTTGAATCTAATAATGTTCTAACATGATCTATATGCACACACACACACACACACACACACACACATATATATAGATAGATAGTGTATTTGGGCTGCTATCACTTTTATACATGTTTCATCAAAAATAACTGACAAGATACTTCTTTTCAAACCTCTCACTCCAGATAACCACTATATGTAGTAAAAATCTTAAAAAAAAAATTATAAATTGCTTTTTATATATAGGGTGGGGATTCTTTTTGAAAATAAAATACTTATGCTGTTTGCCACAATATTTCTTTTTGTGGTTAGAATTTTAAAATCGTCTTTTAACAAAAATATTGGATTCCGTAAGCTTGCTCAATTATTGTATCTTTAAAGTCATGGAGAACAAAAAGAGATCTTATTCTGTCTCTTTGCAACTCCCATTCTCCCCCCGATCCATAAATTTATTGAACCTAATCTTGCCACAAATTTAGTCAAGTTGTTATGGCAATTGTGTAGCATAAGTCAATTGCTGACCTGACAGATCACACTCTAATTGGTACATTTTTGGTACTGCCAAATATAAATATCAATTTTCTGCTTCTGTTCTTTGAAGTACTTGTGCAACATAATTTCATGTTTTAATACTTGTTAATTTTGGAAGAGTCTTTTTTGGGGTTTTTTTTTTCTGCCATCCCCTTCCTACAATCAGGCTGCATGTGTCTATTTACATGCACTAGGCATTCATTTATTTTTAATTATAAGTTTCCAATATTTTAATTGGCAAAACTCCAATCTAAAGTACATAAATAGAAGTTTTTTTTTGTTGTATACACAACTACATAAAAATGTAATTGTTAATGTATGAAATTCATCTTGTTCTAATTTTTGAGAATTATTATTATTAGACACTAAAGAATTATTCTTTTTAAGAATTATCATTATTAGACACCAATTTGCTCAGACTAGTGTCCTCATTTTGGTTATCATCACACTAGTTTGACATCCTGCTTGACAACAGGATGATCAAATTTCAAAACTAAATTGTTTGTCCATCTAAAATACTACATTTATTAGAAAATATATTCAGTTTAACTATGGGAACAGTCATAAAGTGACTTCAATGGGCTGGCTTATACTCTTTTCCTACTATGCAATGGTTATCAGACAAAAATGGAAATTAGTCTTTGTGACACAGATGTCCTTTTCCATTTCATTCAAATTGTGTGTGTGTGTGTGTGTGTGTGTACATTGTCTTAATTCAATGACAGACCTAAAAATATGTCTACAAAATTTAAAAAAAAAAATGATTTATTGTCAGATAATTTCCCAAAAGTTCAATACAATAAAATTTTATTCTGATTTTCTAAGGCTTAAAAGAAAATTACCCCCCCTCCCACTTTGATTTTATTGTTCAGCCCAGGGTAAGGAATATCCAGGCTGAGTAGGAAGGGAGTATATTATTCCAATGTCTTATTCCAAACAGTCAAATTGTGTATGCATGCATGCTTGTGTGTATGTCAAATGGAACAAGCACATGTAAATCCCTCTCACACAACACAGACACACATCTGCATTACTTATGTGCTTGCAGTGTCACATGCAGACAGTGTGTGATGGATACAGAATGGGCTCTTTTTTTACATAGATTTTGGAAGGTTGCTAAATATGATAGACACTTGAAGCCCTGAGAGTGTGACAGCTGAAAGTTTGTGACAATAACAACAAACATGAAGATACTAGTCTGAGCAAATCAATGTGTAATAGTGTGAAATTCTGTTGTGCTTAGGTACAAACCAAATTTCCCAT